ATATTTTATATATTAATTTAGAGCTTAATGCCCTCAATTTGCATTAAGCTCTAAATCAATATATTAAATATTGCAATTTTGATTAAATGCATAAATAAATCTATTCCTCAAAAACCGATTGGAAATATTTTAATCTGCTTACCCCTAAAGTAGGCAACAATCTTTATGAGATCATTAATGTGAGGGAACTAAAAATTCATATTAAAAATATTGCAAATCTTTTGTTACAAACTTAAAGAGTTGAGCATGGATTTATGTAGAGTAGTCCAATACTTGGAAACTAAGGGCAAAGGAAAACCCAAGCTCAGACTGGGCATTGTTTACTCTGCAATGTTTAATAGCATAATCAAAATAATGAATCACATATAAATTGTTTATACATATAACAAACAAAGAGAAATTTCAAGTATGAAACCTTGACTCAGCTAGAATAAAATGCAGCTGTTGAAAGTAGATTTTAGCAATGGGTAAATACAATATTTGAATATATATATTGTGTATATGCGTGCAAATAACTGTATGAATAGAAGTCTTGTCAATTGCATAAGCTGCTAGCTGCAGAGATTTGAAAATCTTTTAAGCTGAACACTGTTAAAATCTTTGAGAAATTGTCTTAAGTGCATGTGTAAGGACATAAATTAGTAACAACACACAGATAGACATGTGTATGTGCACACACATACATACATACTCTTTAAAGCACTTGACCAGCTGGCGGCGTTTGGGGGCAAAGCCAAGGCAAATAAGCGAAAGCTTAAAACCAACAACAACAACAACGACGCTGACTACTAGCAGGTTTTAACGCCAGCACCAGCTTGGGCTAAAGCCCAAGTGAATTTGGCAGCACGAAGAAGACATGAGAGAAGGGGTCCACAGCCAGCCATTTTGTTCGCTTGTTGGCAGCTATCTCTCTCTCTCTCTCTCTCTTTTGCTCACATTTGTTGTTTGTGTGCGTAGAGCACACACACAGACAGAGGCAGCTGGTCGTTCTTTGGTATGCTGCGATTATGCAACAAGCTGACATGCGTGTCCAGTTCTAAATGCCATTTTTTGGCAATATGAATTTTTGAACAACATTCGCAACAAGCTCAGCATTTCCTTAATGCTGCACTGAAGATAGACAAATAGAAGAGCGAGCGAATGAGCAGAGAAGAACGCATAGAAGAGCAAAGAATGCTAAACCACACAAGCAGATGCAGGCACGCATACAAATGCACTTGTACATACAACTGCATACATGTCTACATACACACATACATTTACAAAAATGGAAACAGCAACAGCAACAGAAGCTGGTTGCAGAAAACGTAATCCCTGCTTTGGCGCACATTTCACGGCTGCCTTTCAGGTTTCTAGAATATTTAAGCTGCCCCCCACACTCTTCCCACCTGGCAGTTGCCTGGACCGATCCCGTTTCGCCTACACTTTCGTGCTTACGCACACAAATGTGCGTTAGCATTTGCATGTGTCTGTGTGTGTAAACTTTCTCTGTCCGTTCACACAATTCCAACACAATTTTAGACGCATACGATTGCGGCCGCGGCTGTGGCCATATGGCTCTTACCTGCGGCACTCGCATTCAAATTAAAATTGTTTTTTATTTCTTTCTCAGCCATTATATTTTTTGCGCTGCTCCTTAAAGTATGCCACAATGGAAAAAAAAACTATACAGATTCAATTGTGTTGCTTATTGCGACTCCAAAGTGTCAGGAAGCCATTTTGATTGATTGTTCGAAAAATGATCAAAACAAATAAGAAAACCAAATAGTCAATTAGCATGTTGGAAGTGAGGTTAGGTTGCGCTTATTTTAGCATTTGTGGCTGGGCAAATTTCATTAGGCCCAAAAAATAACAAAAATGTGCTGTTGGACTTAGTAGTGTGGCAAACTCAATTCGAACGCGTAACCGTTTCCAATATTTTGATGTGAGTCGATCAATTCGTCGACCAGACACAAAATTTAACAGCTTTAAGGTCATTTTACAGTTAAACAATGTCACAACAGTACATATCATAACAACAATAACGCACTGGCAGCCAAGTGCTGTATGCCAACGTATGTCTGTGAGCGTGCGTGCGTACGTGTGTGTGCGGACATATTTATGTATATTTTTAGTACACGTACAAATTCGCAACACTGGACGCAGACAATATAGCAGAGAGAGAGAGACGAACATGGAATGAGAGCGAGCGAAAGAGAAGGCTATTATAAAATAGCAAGCGAGTGAGCGAAAAAAGCTGAAAAAGCTTTGAGACCACTCCCCGAAAAGTTCAGGCGACGGCGCAACGTCGACGCACACAAAACAACCAATCCCAGGCATAAATATACAAAATAAACACACACACAGACAAAACGAAAAACTGAATCGTACACACATACATGCGCGCGCTTTTATACTGAGACAGATAGAGGCAAAAGCAATGTGTTACAATGCAATTTCCCCGCCAAAGCGTGCTGTGTTGGTGTTGTTGCTGCTGTAGTTGATGGGAGACCAACCCAAACTCAATTGTTCAGGCCAAAAGACAAAAAGGCAAGCTTGGAAAACTGGCACAGCCAAAATATGAGCAACAACAAAAACAACAATAACACACATACACGCATACACTTACACACACACACGCATAACTAACAGCACAGGGTGCAGCAGCAGTTTCCAATTGGAAGTGCAGTCTGATTTCTAAGGGTTGGGCTATTGGCGTGATTATGTCAGCAACAACAACAACAACACGGTAAATGTGTGTCTATGTGTGTGCGCCACCTTCACCCACCACCATAAGCAACATATGACTTCAAAGCAAAGCAGCGGTTCGTCAGTTGCTTTCCAAGCGCTGACGCCGCCGCACTTGCTCCACGAGCGCTCGGTCGTCATTCGTGCGCCGCATTTCAAACTGTAAACTTTGGTAACGGTAAAAACGTTGTCGTTACTTCGCCTTTTCAACGTCATCGTCGTCGTCGTCGTCGTCGCCGCCGTCGCCGTCGGCCAATGGCCATGCGCCAGCCTCACACGGAATGTGTTAAAAACCTAATGTCAAAAATGTGACCATTGAATGCTGTTGAATGTGTAAACGGTGAACGTGCATGTGTATGTGTATGCGTAATTTCTTAAGCAAAGCGTCCTTCAAATATATGTACACATATATGTATATTTGCGCGATCGATCTCAGCCATCATCTAGCCCATCCCACATTGCCCCGGCATGGAGCTTTTGAAGCTAATGATGTTCAAAAGTGACTTTCTGTCCAATGGCAAATGTGACGATCGCGTACCGCCCATTAACCTTAGTCAATTGCCTGAGTTTCTATTGTGTAAGTGCTCAACGAGAAAAAAATCTACTATAACTTCCTTACTCTAAATATTAAATATTCCAACGAAATTGAACAACAAACAAAAGCCGAAAACAGAAAATAAAAATATCCAAATTTCTATCCTAACAAATTCCTTAAACTCAAATCAATACAACTGAAAAATGTTCGGGGAAATATTATTAAATATTTGGAAATATTTTTGGCTGCTTTTTTTTACATTTTTATATCTTTACAAATTAATGTTATCAACGAAGGTCCAAGGAATATAACAACAGCAAAACATCTCTATTTAGTATAATATTGTTATTTATTACTGGATATTTTTTGATATGAACTTTCATATCCTTTGACTTAATTAAAAAAATCACTTAAACAAGTTTGTCCTATTATATGGTTATATAATAGTCATTTGATTCCAAAGATACAAATACATAATACAGTATTCATGCCATCAATATATATATATATATATATATATATATATATATATATATATATATATATATATATATATATATATATATATATAAAGATTAAAGATCAATTCATATAAGACTTATGTGAAAAATATGATATTTTAGAGATAAAAAATAAATATGCAAATAAACGAGAATATGATTAGAAATTATGCAGATTTGCTTTTAGTAGATTGTCCATTAATGGATGAAAGCATATATATCCCTAAATATAATACTATTTTAGAGTTATATTAACAAAAGAATTGAGCTTTAACAAAATAACAAATTAAAAGGCTTTCTGAACAATTCAACTGAATGATTAAGAAAAATAAATCACAAATGTTAAATCGTTGGAAATAGGTGTGCTATAAGAAACGTCTGAGGATTGAGGACCCAAGAACCTCCGATTTAGTAGATAACATGCAGAAAAGGCGGAAGTGGAGTCCTCTTTAGTTTAATTATCATATGCAGTCACTTGACCAACTGTCCAAGAGTCCGAAAGTTGCCATTTAAGAATAATAAATAGATCATTTTATTAATAAAATTAAAACTTTCGTAGTACTAATTTCGAGGTTTGCTATGATGAACAAAATAATTTGTAAAATGTTGTCAATTTTGTAGAACTAAAGAGTATTTATTATTATACAAAGTATTATAAAAAGTATTAAGTAAACAAATAAGAGAGAAACCGGAAATAGATAATAGAGAAAGCCTTTCATGCAGTGGAATGTTTTGTCCTTCGAATCGAATAAAGAAAATGCAATATTTTTAAATTAATAATACAGAAATATAGATAATTAATTTAAATTGCCAGAGTACTATTGCTTTAAAGTAAATAAGTTTCTGTTGTCGTAGTCGAAACGTAGAATAAAAACATAAATAATTCCGTATACATGTTTCAGTTGTAGGTTTCCTTTCGCAGGAAGGGAAAAGCCTACGAACCGGACCCTACACGCATCCTATTTACATTTTTTTCATAATGACAGTTTTTAAATAGACGACAAATCCAGATTCAAATTACAAACAAATAGCTCAATTAAAATTCATTTCGAATTGATTTACGAGAGAAACTAGCAACGAGAGAAATTAATAGAGAATTTTCGGAAAAAAGGCAAAAATGCAAATGGGTAATTCACGAAGGCGAACCACAACAAGCGAGCCCGCAACAACAATTTCGAATATATCATCAATCGAGATAGACTATATAATATAATACTTCAATCGATATTCATCCACAGCAACGATACCGAAGTGTGGCGGCTGCCACGAGCTGATCCTGGATCGCTTTATATTGAAGGTGCTGGAGCGGACTTGGCATGCGAAGTGCTTGCAGTGCAGCGAGTGCCACGCCCAGCTGAACGATAAGTGCTTCGCCCGGAACGGGCAGCTGTTCTGCAAGGAGGACTTCTTCAAGTAAGTAAATTTCTCGAACGGCTGTCGCATCGAGGCGTTCGATGTTAGTTGACCGGTTTAATGAAAATCTCCCGTTGCCCCGTTGCCAATGTTCGGGTCGAACAGACGTTATGGTACGAAGTGTTCCGCTTGTGATATGGGCATACCGCCCACCCAGGTGGTGCGTCGCGCCCAGGACAACGTCTATCATCTGCAGTGCTTCCTGTGCGCCATGTGCTCGCGCACCCTGAACACGGGCGACGAATTCTATCTGATGGAGGATCGCAAGCTCATCTGCAAGCGCGACTACGAGGAGGCCAAGGCGAAGGGTACGTGCGACTGGCTTCTCTATGACACGTGGCGCTTATCAAGCTCTCCTTCCTCTCCCAACTGCAGGTCTCTACTTGGATGGCTCCCTGGACGGTGATCAGCCCAACAAACGGCCACGCACCACAATTACAGCCAAGCAGCTGGAGACACTGAAAACCGCATACAATAACAGTCCAAAACCCGCCCGACATGTTAGAGAGCAACTGTCACAGGACACGGGCCTGGATATGCGGGTGGTGCAAGTGTGGTTCCAGAACAGGTGAGCTTGCCGGGATGGGGTGGGCCCAAGCCAGACCTTACTCACGCTCAGTCTCCATTTTGCAGACGCGCCAAGGAGAAGCGACTGAAAAAGGATGCAGGACGCACGCGCTGGAGCCAATACTTCCGCTCCATGAAGGGCAACTGCTCGCCGCGCACTGACAAATTCCTCGACAAGGATGAACTGAAAGTCGACTACGACAGCTTCAGTCATCATGGTACATAGCCAGCTCACACTATCCTAACTCTCTCAGTACCTCTTACTGACTTACTTATGTTGTCCTTTCAGATCTTAGCAACGACAGCTACAGCACCGTCAATTTAGGCCTGGATGAGGGCGCCTCGCCGCACAGCATACGCGGCTCCTATATGCATGGCAGCTCCAGTCCCTCCCAGTATCCGCCGAGCAGTCGCTCGCCCCCAGTGCCGGGCCAAAGCCATACATTTGGCTCCTATCCGGACAATATTGTCTACACTAATATCGGTAAGCATCTGCCTAAGCAAAGATAGAAAGAAATGTCAATAGTTGCATAAATAAATAGGTAAATAAATAATAGATAAAAATAATATATATATATATATATATATATAGAGAGAGATTAATTTTAGCATATATAGATTTACATAAATATATATATATATGTCTATGTATATATCCTTATATAGCTAACTAATCATCAATTGTAACTGATCTTTTGCATCTCGTGTTTTCAGATCATGCAGTTGGCGCTAATCTACACGCAACTAAGTCGCATCATCGCCTGCACAGTAGCAACAATGTTTCGGACCTGAGCAATGATTCTAGTCCCGACCAGGGCTATCCTGACTTTCCGCCTAGTCCCGACTCCTGGCTCGGCGACTCGGGCAGCACCAATAACAATACGAGCAACAATAATAATAATAACAACAATAACAACAGCAGCAGCAGCAATGCGAATAGTAATAACAACAACAACAACCATAGCAGTGGGTCGACGTCCAATGCAAATGCCGCCGCCAACCCTCCCGCAACGCCTGGCGTACATTACTGATACTCAAAAATACTTTTGCGTTATTTTGAGATGCAGTCACGAAGTCTGCTGCTCGCCGCTGCCCAACAGCAACAACAGCAGAAGCAGCAACAACAGCAACAACAACAACATCAACAACATCAACATAAGCATACTTCGCAGCAACAGCAGCGCTAGCGACGCCATTTTGAAAGCTCGCCTGTAGCTTGACAGCGGTTAACAGTACTGAGCAAATGCGTAACATTTGCTTCACAGCGCTGAGCACAAGAGCAACAACAGCAAAGCTTTACAGCTAACAGTGTGTGCTTTTTATTCGCTGACTGCATTTCCGCATATGCATCACTTTTTTTTATTACTTTTACTAATGTAACACAATTTGCTCAAGTTTCCGTAATATTTCAGTTATTTATTTATATATGGAAGATAATGAACATTTGTATGTAAATGTATCAATGTTCGATGCTTTAACACAAACCGGCTTAAATAATAATGAATGTGTTGATTACATCCACTTCCTTGCCCGCTTTTGTTTGTACTTTGAACTTTGATATTTTAGTGTAATGTAAATATTGTATATTTGTGTATAGTAAACAAGAACTACATTTTAAATTAAACTAAGTCTGTATAGGGTCACACAAAGATTGGGGGGACAGTGCACAACATTTATTAAGCTGAGCTCCCAAAACAAGTTATTTATTGCTTTATATAGGAATACATGAATTGCATAGGAGAAATATCAATTACGAAAAAGTGATGTCGTATATACATACATATATCTAAACACAAAAAAAAAAAAAAACAAAGAAACCAAAAGAAAACAAAAAATAATATGAAAATAAAACAAAACATAAAAACGATTTCAAGCAAATAGAAATTTCAGCAAAATGCTAACTACGTAAAACAAATGATAACGAATTTTTAAATTTATTGTGTATTACAATAAGTTTAATTAATTCAAATAAATGCGATAAAATTAATTACTATTTGACATGTAAGAATAAATGATACAACAATTGTTAAAAATCACATCTTTTCATATTTTTCTGATCACAAATACGAATCACGCTCACAAATCGATCATTATTCGTGTTTGCTCGTGTCACGAAGCGTGTAATCCTCTAATTCTAGCATTCTGACTCCTGATAGCAAAGTGTACTGCAACAAAATATCTTCTTTGATAAACGAGGCAAATAATATGACTTACAAATTATTCCCAACTTGTTAAATACATAAGACTACTCAACAATTATCCCTTTTTTATTCTCTATCGAACATATAGTTCATTCAAAAAAAATTTTTTTTCAAATCTCCCTATTGTATGCAAAGTCATGGTTCCCACCGTTGCCCTCTACTTTCTTTTAACTGCAGCGCCCTCTCACTGTCCCTGTTTTACGCTCCTTCTACTATTTCATTCATACCAATTCTTTTCAACAAATATCCCATTGGCATTAATCGCAGCGAGTCGATTCAACGCTCTTCTCTCTGCTTTCATTAAACTGCAGTGCTCTCGTTCAATCTCTCTATCGTACGCTTCTTCTACTATTTGATTCATACAGAGCGAGCCGCCTTTCCGATGGTACATCTGTTCGGAAGCTCTGCTATTCTGCCGTTCTGCTGTTCTGCTTTTGTGGCCTGTCTTCTGTTGTTCTCAGTCTCTTTTCCAACGTTCGCGCAACGACATCGATTATCGAGAAAGTTTTTTGATGCGCAAGGCGCCTTAACTTACCATTAAGTTGATTACAATTATATAAAAATGCTAAAATAATGTTTTGTCCACTCAATTTTGCAGTTATTAGAAGCTACCATATTATTACGGTGCGTGCGAAAATTCGATTTCTATAAAAAGCTACCCCAGCACTCTTTCCAATTTTGTTTTTATTGTCCGTGTGCGTATTTCTCTGTGTGTGTGCATGTGTGTGCGTGTGTGACAGAAAATGTGCTGCCAAATCGAAATTCAAATGTCGTAAAATGTTCTATTTTTATTTTGCAGTAAACTACATATAACAAGCGCAGCCAGAGTTCGTTGTTGTTGTTGATCTGCTGTGTGTGAGATGCAGATGTGTAATATGTTTTTGTTTTTGTTGCGACGCCAAATTGCATTTGCGGCTGATAAGCCGCTCGATCCTTAAGCTCGATATATCGGATACAAGAGCCGCAGTCACAGTGAAAAGAACTTCCTAACTGTTTTTTAAGTCTTAACCAATTACTACAAAGAGAGACGCCTCCGCTCCGTGCGTTTACCAATAATGCAAATTCAATGTTTGCCAATATTTAAAGTAATTTTCGTGCTCTCAACAATTGTCGCAGTCACAGGTAACACGGCAACAAAGTTGCCAGATCAATGCAGTGCAGCTGTTTATTTATGTCTTTTCCACTTTCTCTCGCTCCATCTCTCTTTCTCCTTTTTGGCATTCTCTTCTGCAAGCAGATTGTTGTTCGAGCCGGATTTTACTGTTGCGCCAGCAAACACTGCAAATTGAAGAGCATGTCGTCCAATTGGTTAACCAATTGGAACTACAGCAGCAACTCAATATCGATGGACAACCCTCTGCAACGGATGTATTCGCCGATACAGCACAAATGCTACAAATGTCATCGGCTCTAAATATTGACGGCGAATTGGCAACAATTGCGACAACGGAGCGCGATAGCAACATAGGCGTAGAGCCTTGGTTCAATGACGAGGAAACAACAACAACGACAACAACAATAACAACGCCGACCACAACGACAAGGTCAACAGAAATATCATCAACAACAATTTCAGCAACTGTAAACACAATGGCCACGGGCGAACCGCCGCCCGATGACAGTACGCCGCAACTGGCAACGGACGCAGGCATTTCTCAAGCTAACGAAGCTTTGCAAACAACGACGATGGCAACGACAACGACTACAGCAACAGCAGCAGCAGCAACAATAACAGCAGCAGCAGCAGGAACAACAACAACAGCAGCAGCAGGAACAACAACAACAGCAGCAGGAGCAGCATCAACAACAGCAGCAACAACACAAACATTATCAACAACAATGACAACAACTATGACAACAACTAACACAGAAGACTTAAGCTTTAAGTTGCCCTGCAGCAATACCTATATGAAGTACTTTTGTCTTAACGGAGGGAATTGCTTTCGATGGGCAGAGAGTGAAAACGGCTTTAGTTACTGCGTGTGCGCCGTTGGCTTCGTAGGCGAACGTTGCGACTCAAAGACTGAAAACGGTAAGCAACATCAATTAACTACACTGATATATGTATATTGTGTATATTGTGTTTTGTCATTGCAGGAGTATATGTACCATTGCGTCCCACTACAGAGCCACAGTTGAAGACGGCGCGCATTGTTTTCTCTTTCCCCATGCTGATGCTACTCTCCACCATTTACGTTCTCTTTGGTGCGGTGTTTATGCTGCGCAATGTGTCCGCGCAGCGCCGAAAGCAACAACAGCTGCACTTGCACAAGCAGCGCTTTTTCGTTAGCTGTTAAGAGAGCAGTACAACGGCGGGGCTGCCAACTTGTTTTTCGCTCTTTCAATTTTTTGCGGTTTGCTAAGAGAAACCAAATGACGCTATTTGAATTTGGAAACGGATTTTTGTTTCACAATTTTGCTATAAATGCCAATTGAAGCATTTTCCTTTATCTTCTACGATTCTTTCTTTCCTTTACGTTGCGCAACGCTTAATTTATTTAATTACATTATAATTGTTTTTGTAAATTCTTTGTATTTAATCGCAAAAAAGAGCGCTCTTTTCTTTAGAAGCTTCGATTTAAGCTTAGTAGATTTTGTTTTGTAGTAACATTTTGTTACGCTATTTAGTATGTAGCTAATATTTAAACTTTAGCGTTTATCACTGTTATTATTGATAATTTTTTTCTTTTTGTAACACTTTGTTACGCAACAAAAAATCGAACAAATATTGTAAATTAACAAATACTTTTTGTAATGCATTAAAAACTTCGGGACTCAAAAGTTTATAAAACTTAAAATCTGGCTTGTTTACTTTGTATATATATATATTTATCAAATATATATATATATTAATATATATCTATCTGTGAGTATGAGTGTGTACATTCTTAAGAGACAGCTTTTGCTCGTCGAACCATCAATTTTCCTTCAATATCAAACCTCGAGTTTAGTTTAGTGGAGCACACTTGCGTTTTATATTTTATAATATATATTTATCCAATATTTCGTCCAAAAATTCTTTACAAATTTCTTAGAACTTACAGTTAAATGTATAGTAGAAATTATTCAAAAAATTCTTAATTTCATTTTTTCATGGATGATTTTTTTCGTTTTCACTTTTTATCATGATCATCAATATGATAATGGTATGTATGCGTGTATGTGTAAGTGTTTGTGTGTGTTAGAGAGTGTATGTGTGTGCGGCTGTGTTCTCTTATAAATGTGTTTTGATGGATTATACGAATATACGTGATTTGTGGTGCACCAGCATCAAAATTCAATTGGACCAACACTTGAAAACCGTTTCCTCGTCAATTGGTGGGCGATGGAGTTGGAGTTGTAGGTGGAGATGTGTGTTTTTAGTTAGTGTATTAGTGTATTCGTATATTCTGCTTGTTTCTTTTGCTCTTGAATATATGCTCATGTAATCTTGGATTAGGGATATGAAATTCGTACAAAAATGATTAAAATATGTAAATGTTAAAAATGTATTTTTGCTTTTTTTTTGCTCTCGTGTTGTATCATTTAATTGTTGGTTTTACGTTGCGTTGTTTTCTTATTTGTTTTTATCGTGTTTTTTTTCTTATTTTTTCTTTTTGTTTTTTAATAATATGTAATATATATAATAATTATTAGTATTATTCGCATGTCACGGCCAGGTCCTGTGTTGTAACATCTGCCGCGGCGTTCTTCTCCTTCAGATCCTTAGCGATATCCTAAAAAGAACAAATGTTTGTTAATATTTATTCATACATATTTATAAAAGAGGATGTTTGATTCAATATACAATTGGAATATGAACATAAAGAGGAAGAAAAGCAACTCAAAGCACAACAACAACAATTTAAGGATTAAATGGCACTGAGCCTTGCCAAAGATTAAACAACAAAAATAATGATAGCAAAAAAGGTATCGAAAAAATAATTAAAATTAAAATAAAGTACCATTGTAGTCTGTGTTTAAATGCGTTATCTGCGGCCAAACAGAGTTTGTTAGAGATGGGATAACTGGAATTCTGTGCATGGAAGTTTGTGCGTGTATTCGTGTGTGTGCGTTTGTATATTCGTGTGTAGGATAGGGTATAGGGAATGGGTAGTACAAAAAGTTAGGTGTCAGTTTGTTTTTGTTTTGTTAATTTTAAAGTGCATGTGGAAACAACAGCACAAATGCGCGCCTAATGTTTTTAGTAACATTCCATTTTACATTCCTTTCACATATACATTCACAAGTTCATGCAGTTAGTTACCAGCATAGCGAGCATAACAGGGCCTCTTAAAATTAGCTTTAACTTTAGCAGACTACTGCAGCTTAACAGAAGCAGTCATGTACATTAACATTTACAATTTACAGAGTTTACTGATTGCTACATAAACAACAACTGATGCATGGGAGAAGCACAGAAAGAGCAGAGAGCAGTGAGCATTGGAAAATAACGGTAATAGAAAGAGATGAGCCCAACGCAGGAATTTTTGCAATTATTTCTTATGGCGCATTTCAGTTTGTTGAGGTGAGTGAGCAATTGAGCGAGCGACGAGTGTTAAATTCATTTACGAATATGTCTATGGGAAGTGTAGTGAAGTTGAGAGTTGAGTTTTGATTGAGATCGATTGTTATTCACCTCATGATGAGCAGCGTCTACTTCAATGTCCGTAGGTCCAAGCAGATTCGTTATACTTTGCTTGCTACTAATAACATTATCAGTTTCGTTCTCGATATCATTATCGGTATCAGTATCGTTATTCCCTTGCATCTCCTCTAGCTGCTGTACAATGGTTTCCTTCCCATCATCATTCCCCCGCAAGCTGAGTTTCTCTGACACATGAATGTTGTCCTCGCTATTATTCACCTCGGCCTGTTCTTCCTGGCTGATGATCTCCACCTCAACATCGAGATCATTCGGTTGCTCCTTGCTGATTAGGGCTGGCTGCACGGGCTCCAACTCCTGGCTGCTCATAGCTGTATCTTTAGACTGCTCTTCCACAATGTCCTCATTATCATCCTCGTCTACATCGGTGATAATCTTTGCAGATGAACTTCTCAGCTGCTCGCTGATATTCTCGACCACATCTTTCTCTTCGTCATCTACCATGGATGAGCTGTGTTTATCCTGTTCCGTTGCAATATCTGCAGCCTGTTCGGTTATTTCATTAACAATAGCTTGCGCCTGATTCTCTATGTCCGCCAATAGTGGATCGTGGTCCACTGCTGCTGGTGGAGGTGGTGGTAGTACAACCTCGTCCTGTTTTGTCTCCTCTTTAACGAACTCGTCATCGTCCTCGTTGTCATGCGTTTCACCGTCTGTTGTCAATGCAAATGCCGAAACACGAGAAGGCGGCGGGGATTTGGGCAGTGGTGGCGGCTGACTGAACTCAACTGCCACCACATCAGGTTCCACACTATCTTCAGCGACAGAAACTAAGACATCGGGTTTAGACTCTGGTGTCTCGGATAGAAGTTCTACATTGGGCACAGGGGAAATTGAAAGCGGGGACTCAGCTGCTGCTGGTGGTTCAAGTGGGGACTCAGCTGCTGCTGGTGGTTCAAATGGGGACTCAGCTGCTGCTGCTGTTGTTGGTTCTGGTGCAATCAAGACAAAACCCTCGGAATCAGAGCTCTCACTAACAGCTGCTATAATAGCGGCAACCACTTGTTCTTCTTCGGCGGCATCCGCTTGCACTTCGTCCTGCGCTTGGAAGGTGGGAAGATAAGCGGAATTGTCGGTGGTTGTGTTGGTGGTGTTAGGTAATGTGTTATTTTGGGAGTTGGTTGGTTGGGTCTGAACTAACTCTGCGGCTGCAATTGTTTCGGTCTCTGTGGTTTTTTCAGTGTTGTTCTCAGTGGTGGTGGTGATTGTTGTTGTTGTTGTTGTGGTACTCGTATATACAGTGTTGTTTGTGTTGTCTAGTTGTTGTTTTACCTCAATTTGCGACTTGTTCTTAATTTGCTCGGCCTCAGATTCGACAGCAACGGGTGTTGGCGGTGGCGTGGCTGTATCGTTGTTCTCAGCCACTCCATTCGTGCCGTTCTGATGGTGCGGCTCATCATCCACATTGTTGGTGGTTGGTGATGCTGCTGCTGCCTCTGGCTCGGTTGGAGTTTCGGCCAAGCCGTTCTTGTCTCCGTTGGTCAATGGTGGTTCGTCTGCAACGCCATGACCGTTGGTAACAACTTCGGTGGTTTCATTCTGGATGCTAACAGGCTCGGGAACCGGACTTGGCTGCTCGACTGGCTCGTCAACTTTCGGCGGCTCGGTGGTGTTTGTGGTCTCTGACTTGGCCGCCGTCTGCTCCTCGCTTGCTGTTGTTGGCGCTGCAGACTTATCATCACCATTCACCTGTTTCTTTTCCTCCTGTTGTTGCTTTTCCTGTTCGCTGGCTGCGCCATTCTCGGTGGGTTTAGCGGCTTCAGCCACAGGTGATGCCGGCGCAGCTGCAGCTGAAGCTGTTGCGTCCGCGCTTGTCTGCTAGCAACAAAAAAAAAAAAAAAAATGTTAGTAAATATAAAAATAAATATTCAATTTTGGAGTTTACCTCTTCTTTGTCAGCGGCAGCTGCAGTTGCGCCTTCTGCTGCATCTGCTGGTCGCTCCGCCTCGCCATTCGTTGCAACTGTCTCTGCCGTTGCTGCAGCAGCTGTTGGGGATGCAGGCTCCTCTGTCTTGGCTGGCTTCTGTTTGTCCTTTTTGCCAAACGATATGCTACGGAATGACCATTTCTTTTTCACCTTATCCTTCTTGGACTTGGACTTGATGCTTTCATCAGCCAGTGGTGAGATTTCCTCCTCTTTGGGCGAGCCAGATGCCGCTGCTGTCTCATCCTTGGCAGCATCAGCAGTCGCATCGCCATCAGCTTTCGGTGCAGCATCTGCTGCTTTTTTCTCGGTGGTTAGATCTTTGTCGTTCTCAGAGTTCTCCTCGGCCTGCTTTTTCTGCAATAACAATTTCAAATGGGAATAATTTTAAGCTCGAATCGTAATTGCTTTCGATCTGGCTCTTACGTCGCCCGCTGCAGCCGCATCCTCGCCTTCTTCCTTTGGCGTCGCCGCATCGCCATTTAATGCGGGCGCCGACGACGTTTGATCGACATCTTCAATTTTCTCAACTTTGCCTGCGACTTCGTCACCCTCGCCAACCTTCTTCGGATCGGTGGTAATATCAATTGATCGCTTGCTCTGAGCTTTACCCATTTTTGCTGGTCCTCTACTTTAATTGCTAATTGGTTCTGTGTCTGTTCTGTAAATAAATGCGGGTGGTGCGCGACAAGAATTTAGGAAATAACATAAGTCAATTGTTTCTTTGTTTTATTTCTGTATTTATGTTTAAAATCAATATATACACATATATAGATATGTTTTAATTTATTTTAATTTCTGTCTGTATCTTCTGTATTTTTAGTATATATTTATCTAATTGTTTGGTTCTTCGTGAGTGTCGGTTATCGAGAAATAGCAACGCACACTTCACAAAATCAACTTTGCTATTTTATTTTTACATTTGACATTTTAATGCACGCCAACTTCCAATGCGACGATCCACAAAGCTAAATACAATTATATGTACACATATATATGTACATATACACATCCGTTGTGCATACAGCATCTAGAAATCTGCTCTGGGCTGATAAGGCTTTGCAGTTCATAGACGACAAATATATACATATATACATTATATATATGTGTATACATTATATATTAATATGTAGATTAATCATAATGATTATTAAATTGATAAATGATAGTAAAGAACGTAGTTAATGCTGCATTTGTTGCAAATAAACCTAATTAAACATTATAATGGACACGCAATCACTCATAGTTGAAACCGTAAGCCGAAAAGCGCATACTAGAAATTTGTGCGATATGGCAACGCTGCCAAGGCTTCAAAGTCAAAGATGCTGATATTGATCAAAAGTGCCTTCATCTGCATCTTTGCTACAATAGCAAATAGTAATGTTACATAGGGAAATTCAAAATCTGTTGTTTGGAAAATATGTTCGAAAGCTTTGCATTGTTTCAGAATAATGTGATATTAGGGATTAGCCAGCAGTGTGCAAATATCCATTACGTACACAAAGTACATTTTCGGTACGCTTGCACCCGTCGAGTGCCATTTTAAAATGCCATCGATAGGCAATATTATTGACTCGTGTATGTGTATGTGTATATATGTTTAACGATCTCACGTACTATTACTTATGCATATACAAGTATTTACGCATGTGTGTGTATGCTCAAAACAGTTAGTTCAGATGATTAAAATGCTATGTATTTTTATGCGTATGCCTAAGTATAACAGTTTGTTGGCTCTATATCGCTTCTGTTCAACGCTCATCTCTAGCAGCGGAACAGCTTATCAGACGCAGCCGTAAGACAACGCAATGAGGCATTGAAAACGTAAGTGAATAATGCTAATGCAAGCAGCTATCACGAAATTGCTGTGGCCGGCAAATGAATCATCAAATCCAGGAAATATTTATGAAGCAACACATGACGGCGACAGAGGCTGACACATGCAGAGCAAAAGACCGTGTGCGCGACAGTGAGAGGGAGAGCGAAAGCAGGCGCGGCATTAAACTCCCCTCAACGCTTCTTCTTCTTGTGAGTGTACTATGCGTCACTTTTGAAATCGAATTACTCGCCTCGACTCGGCGAAATGAAACAGAAACCCAACCACAGAATTTTAATCGGGCGAAAGTCCAAAAGACCGGGAAGGGGAGCGTAAGGGAAGCTTTGAGCGCAAAGTTAAAAAAAAAGCGCAAAGTTTGCTTAAATTTTAGGGGTTGAAAAGTAAAAAGCGAAAATTGACCATATACAAGGACTGGCTGTCAAGGACCTTTGCTCAAAAACCTTTGTGGCGCTTTCTACGTGCATGCATTTATATATATATATATATATATATATATATATATATATAAAACATGTATATAAAAAAACATATGTTAGCTTGGAATGCAATTTCCGCAAACTAAAAATGCATTTTTCAAGTCTACATTTTTTCATCTATGCGAAGAATTCCGCAGTTCTTTAACTAATTCTTAATTCATAAAGGGGCCACTGTCGGTGCGGACATTCCACGCGTACACGTGTATTTAAATTGCTTTATTGGATACGAACAAGCAAATGAAACTGAAACGAAACATTTTAAGAGCAATCATCACATTTCGTTTCTCGCTGTTCCGCCGTTCAATGAACCCGCCCATCAAATACACCAAACACCTTAGCAAAGCGAACGCCACCTCTGTTTTCGAATGCTTTCGGGTTCACCTCAAGATTAATATAAGTGAATCTAAGCAAATTTGACGCTAGCTACAAAAAAATAATAAAAGAAAACAAAGTGAGGCAGCAATTAATTTGATCGTATAAATTCAAATTAAATATCCAAGCGTTTGGAGCAGAATATCTATATACATATATATGCAAAAATGTTGATGAGTAATCGCAAGAATATGCCAACATACATACACACACAAGTAAACACAGGTGTAGTCGTAACTCAACCCTTACCAAAATAGACAGCACAATAACCAACTGTGCGCACACTAAGCCAAAGCAGGCATTAACAAAAACAAGAACATGATAAAAGCGCAAGTAAAATTGCGGCATGACGCATCAGCAAGCAAAAAGGACAAGAGAACAAGGACAACGCAAGAGGGTTGCCGGCCGGCATTTCATTGCTACTATTACTACGACTACTACTACTATTACAACTACTACTACGACTACTACGTTTATACAACATACAGCAACAACAACGACCACGGTCATTGCCCGTCGTCGTCGTCGTCGTCGTAGTCGTTGCCATGGCAACGGTGCTCAACGACGCTAACGTTGGCGGTGTTTGCGTCGCGCTACGTCACAGCCCAACAGCGCAGCTATTGGGGGGCGTGTGAAAATACTTGAACGCCGCCGCGGCCCACATAAGACACATCAAAAATGCGACGGCGTTGCCAGACTGACGCCACACGACATGACATGCAGAAAATGCGATGCGATGCTAAGCAATTACAAGATTAGCACGATAGCACGAGATTTACATACATTGCCATTAACCTTTGCCCCATACATATGTACATCAGCGATTGACAGCCTAAAAATTGGTTGCCCCATTCAAATTACTCAATTTGGGCTACGTCGGTATTGTTAAAACGACAGTGTGCAAGGCATTGCTTTTAAGCTTTTATTAGTTAAATTTAATTTAAACTTGACCTTTGATGTGTCGCACACACGCACACAAGCACTGACCAAAGCCTCTCACACCTCTTGATTTTAAGCCGCGTCTTTGTGTTCAGTAAAAGAAAATTTATAAACCAAGGGACAAAGGAAAGCAGAAACGATATACTTATACACTCGCTCACTCACACACACACACACAAATACACAAGGCAGGCGCAGAGTAATGTCGTCTATAAATAAAAGCGCATTTATCAACAATGAAGCATGTTCGAAATGCAACAACAGCAGCACAAAGAACTATCTATATATATACATACTTCCATACGAATTGTACGTTTGTGTGTGTGTGCATGTGTTCAATTGTCTGCTCTCTATCAATTTTGACACTTTAAGCTGTTATACTGCTGCTGCGGCTGCGCTTTCAATTTGACGCCTGTCTCTCCTCCCTAATTCGCCCCGCCCCTGGGTCCCATCAGTAAAAGATCGTAGCCATCAAAGAGCCAGACGAAACGTAAATTAAATTGATTGTGCAGGAATGCGTACACTAGAGCCCGGGGCCGGCCAACTGGACAAACATTAATTTCATGTCATGCTACACACAAAATGTATATATATATATATTTGTGTATATATGTATGTGCATACCATACAGATTCCATTTGGTTGCATTGTCGTGCAATTGCGTAGAGCATTTATAACATTTATAGCGCTGGGAACTTGGTAAGTGCGCGCGCTCTTAGCGCAAACCAGACGTAATTGAACTTTTATAAACTAATCAAACGAACGCCCACAGTCGCAGGCACTGTTGAAGCGGCCCTCTTCTCTCTTCGCTTCTCTATGCACGCACTTGACAGCTGACACAAACACACACAAACGTAAGAGTGCATCTCAGCTCATTCCTTCCAATTTCTTCAATCAGCCGCCAGGCGGCGACAGTCGCATGTAAAAATATATAAGTATATGTATATATAAGTGTACTATAATAAGAAAAGGAGCGAAGTGCAGTAGACAACAATAAAATACAGATGCAAACATGTACACAGACGCACACACACACCCACGCATATGTATTGCGATACAAGTGCAAGCATTGCATATTTGTCACTGCTATTTGATACACATGTGTGAGTCTGTTTGCTTGTATTCCAGCTACTGATAAGCCACGCCTAAATATAACACAATACCAAACAACAAATCGCATACATACACACATCAATATATACAAATATATTTAAACATATGTACATATAAAATGCACTTAAGCACAGCAAATGCGCATCACACAAATGGTGAAGAGAAAATAAGACAACAATTTTGTGGCCCACGCAGCAAAAGATAGCGACAAGAAATTAAGAGAGAAGCGCACTCAGAGAAAATTGTGCAAAAAGCATAAAACGGCAATACGAAAACCAAGAGGAACAAGAACAACAACAATAACAGTCGAGTCCAATGAGTGCGTCTCAGAGAATGTCTCAAATAACCGGATATAATTGGTTAGCGCTCTGTTGCCGTTGTCGACGTTTACGTTGATGTTGTTGTTGCTGTTGTTTGCTTATGCGTTACGACAATATGAAAAGGATACGTAAAACGAGTACCGCAATTAGTTACAAGTTGAAAACTCATATACCACAATGTAATACAAACGACAGAAATAAAAGAAAACATTCTTTCAATTATCATTTCCGGTCAGCTTTTTGACGGACATTGAAGCGCACTGAATTCTTCACAATTATTGATATGTAGAATGCTTAACGAACATAGCCCAAACATAAACACATATGCATAAATATGTGCTTTTTCATAACGGTAGTCGTCGCTACTTTGCTATCTAGAAGAAAGACCCCAACCAATGATAAAAATAAATACATTTATAAAAGGAAAATACAGTAATAGAGAGGAAGTGTCTCTAGAAGGCAACAAACCCAACAACAAAGCCAAGCCAAAGCAAATAACGCACATTTGATAAACGAGAAAATGAGGCATAAAGAACCGGGCTATCGATTGCATTGCAGGCGGGAATTGTATATGAATCACAGATAAAGTTTAACAATAGAAATGATGATTCTACTTTTAAATTTCAACAATTTTCTCTTGAATCCAATCTTGTATATATATAAAGCAGTGTTGGAGCTACGTGATCCCAACTACTCTACACACTAATACACAATCATGTATTTATGTATGTAAAAGTTAAGTCTAGATATGTGCTGCTACTGACAACGGCATAAAAATGATAAGCTACAGCAAGTGATCTTGGTAAACAATATATTTATTTTTTTACGTGCGTCTGTTTAATGCGATAAAAATAAAAGGGGTGAGCGGGCTGGTTGGCAAAGTAGATGAACTAACTGAACTACGTGAATCTTCTGTTTTCGCAAAATGCAATCTTAAAAAATTCACCTTGGCTTCAACATTATTCATGTAAACTTAACTAATAAATAGTTTAAGCAACATGAACAAAATTTTTAATTTTGTTAAATTAAAAATTTGAATAGACAAATTGAAAAAAGTTATTTGAGCAGACCAACAAAATCAAAATGTGGAAGTGGATGTGGAGCTGCAATACTCGTCTACAGCAGAGTTGCCACTTTAGTAATCTTACAGCTGGAGCCCGAATTAAGCTAGTTATTTGCTTCTCAATGCCACTTTCGCAATATAATACTTTAAAATTCTGGCAACACTGACGCCAGTTTTACAAGTGTATCAAAAAAAAAAACTTGAAATATACGCACACACAGGCAAGTCATAATATTGTTGAAGGATGCGGATGCAAGCTTAAAACGTAGCTGGAAAAAAGTGGGCTGCGACTGCTGGAGGAACCGGTTGGCTGTGCCATCCATTCGTGTTCTCTTCCTCTATGTTTTTGTCTTTGGACTTTGCAGCTAATTAAGGAGAGTGAGTGTGAGTAGTTCAATAAAAAATAGTTGTTATAAAGGCAACAGTAGAAGCAAAAGCGAATGGCAATTAGTCACTCGATTGGCTTACCGCCCATTTGGGAGGTTTGGTTTTTGCTTAGAATTGAGTGAGTTGTCACAAGTGGCGCGCGCGTTGAGTATTCTGATTAGAAATTCAATGCGCTGCACGCTTTGTGTCCGGACCACTTTGGTATTGTAAACGGCAATTTAATACATCCATAAATAATTCATAAGACAAAACGACGACTGGCGAAAATCGACGCCCGCTGTTTCTGCTTACATATTTCCGGTACTTACTCTTTGTCGTGCTTCAGCGTCAGCTGCGCGGGTGGCCACTAAATAATTTTTAGCAGAAGAGAAAGATAACTACTTCTTGTTGCAGATGTTTTTGGCACAATGAGTAGAACAGCTTTTAAATAACAGTCAACAGTTACTAACGGGCGAATCACTTTCGTCAACACGCACAATGCACGGCAAGGGGAATCAAGCAAATCGTAACGTTGAAAAAGTTCGTCGCAGAACAACCGAACACCAAACCGTTCAACTCAAATAACAAACGACGACTGCGGTTGCCGCCCGACTTACGATCAGCGTCAACAGCGAAACAGAAGCAGCAGAAAGCAAAAAGAAACTTCTACTCCAGGGGTTTGTAATGTAAGCAGAGCTACTGGCAGGCGGCAGAGCTGGAAGCAGAAGTAGACAAAGAGAGAAAGGCCGGAAGCGCCAGCAGCGGCGTCAACAGCTGAAATGCGGGCTCTAGAGGCAACAATATTGCATTAAATGACCATCAGCAGCTATCGATAAAAGCGATAGTGATATTCTTTTTTTCTTATGTTTCCTTCTTCTTTTGCTGCGCTGCTATATGCTTACAATGCGTAAGGAGTCAATAACAAAACTAATGAGCCTTGACGGCGGCACCGCATACAAACGTATGTGTTCACACACACGTACATACACGCATACTTATTCACGCCTTATTGCTTTATTTTGCCATTCATACTTCACACAATGACCCCACATGGCAGCAAGCGGGCGCTGTTGCAGTAGCAACTTTAAATAAACAACTGCACTACAATGAAAAGAGGGAGACGGAAAGAGAAAAGGGGAGATGCGTAAGAAGTTTTCCTGGTTTCCCTCTGCGAGATATTCTTGGTAAATTTTATTGTGTGGTTGATAATTGCTAAAAATTTAAGCTAATTATACATTGGCTTATCAATTAATTGATGCGAATGTTATCGATTACTTCATAGGAATGCAGTTTTATGAAACAACTCATGTATATAAGTAGGTTGATATTGCCAAAGTGTTGACATGCCTTGTCATTGGCTTACGCCTCACCCCAAATACACGTATACATACATATATATACATACTCAATTTCAACATGTGTGTGAAAGATGTTCTTGAGCGGCGCGCCTTGCCGTCATCTCCTAAACAGACGCCATTGCCATTTGCTCTTGTATTTATATTTATATACGAATGTATGTATGTATGTATATAGTATATGTTGCGGTTTGTTACTTCAAATATACTCGTATTTATGCCAACAAAGCAACGTTTTTCCAAGCCTCCCCCTAACGGTAAAAATCAAACCTAACCACTTGAAATACTACTTACATATGAATGCACCTACATACATACGTGTGTATATTTACAGTTATGTACACACACACAACTGTTTGTTTATTTATGGCTATCGTTGGCGGGCAATTTAAATTGTTATTAATGCCAATTCAACAAAAAGCAGCAGCAGCAGTCGCTTATATCAAAAAATAAATATGCCACATTCAAAAATATTCGTAGGCCAGCAAAAATCAATCCGTAACAATAATAACAAACAAAGCAATAAGATGAGAAGCAAAACGAAACGGGAGACGTAAACGTAGCCGACACGGCAGGTCGGGCAGGCCGGCCGGCCGGCCGTTCGGTCGCAGATAAGCAGCCGCGGTCGCGAGTCATGAGAAATGCTGCCGGATCGTCACAAATTGCGTTGTTAGAGAAAATCGCTCGATTCTCTTGTTATTGTAGTTGAAACTTCGCACTTAAGCAAAAATATAGTAAGCTATACGATAGACAATAAAAATAAAAAAGTTACAATATTCGTATTTGCATAAAACTCCTGAATTTACAATAATTTTGTTTATCTTCTGTTTTGTATGTTTTCTTTTTGAATTGTCAATTCTGTACCCTGTTAACCGGCAATAGAGTATATTGTTTTTTGTGTATTTCTGCCTGTTTACAGTTGCTCTACATATTATTTCATAATTTCATTTAAAACCATATTATTAAAAATTGTAAATGAGTCCGGTTTTATTTCTTTTTGAGCGATTACAGTATTTATACGTCTGTAGATATTCACATACGTATAAGTATGTATGTATGCATTCCAAATATGTTTTTAAAGTGGCTGTTAAATTTACAACAGACCGACCAGCTGCGAGAACGCTTGAGAGATTTTAAATACTTTCCACTTGACTGTGACAGACTTTATTTTCCTATGCCCCGGCCAAAAGATTAAATTTAAGGTTAAGGCACTTATATCTAAAATTTGATGAAGCTATAATATACCCTAACAATAGAAGTCACCCACGCCCAGCCAACTAACCACAAATTGCACTTGGCGCATTTTACGTAACGGTATTGAAAATATTAGCCACAGAAATTATTTTCGTTTAAGTCAAACCGCAGTTGGCAACATCGCTTCCCTGTTCCCCCACCCTGTACTAAAACAATAAAAAAAATATTTTTGTCAGCCCCTCCTTCCCATTCCACTCTCCAAAACCAAATGCTTGTAATTTGAGCCGACTTCAATCCGCCCCGAGCTAAGCTTTGAATGTGATTCAAAATGCCAACCAAACATTAAGGACAGATTTACAGCGAAAACTCATACATCAAAGATTGCTAAAATTTCAAATTCAATAAAAAAAAAAAACAAACAAATATTCTCTATTTCTTCTATGCATACACATGCGTTTTTAAGTGAAATTATTAATTTTTTCATTTCGTTTAAATTGCGTGGGCTAATAATAAGGTGTATCGGCGTATCCAGTCTGCAGAATATTTACCGTACTGCCTGCATACACACAAATACTCCTATACATGTATACATATACAAACAGACAGTCAACATTCATACACATACATAAGCAGCGACGCCAGTTAGGGCGGTGGCTGCCGCCTGGCAGCAGGCTAACTACTCTTGTGTATTTGTTGCTTCGCTAACTACAAACTTGCGACGCAATATTTTTTTAACAGAGCTAGGTGATTTTCTCCTCTCTCGGCCTCTCTTTCCATCCATCCCGATTTTTCTTTTGCAATCAAATCGATCTTCAGGCTTGGGCGTCTACCAAATAATATTCGAGGAAAGTAAAACCCACTCAGTATAACAAACTGTGAACATTAGGCAAGGATATTTTTAGAGAACAAGTCCAAGAGCAAACGTGTTGGCAAGTGTAATCAGGCGTAGAATGCTCAAACAAAGACACGACAACGACAATGAAAAATAAGTCAAGTCAGGCAACTTGAACGAACAAGGCAACAGTCGCACAGACAACACGCACACACACAAGCTCACACGCGTACTCTCGCACACACAATACACAGGCATGTGCATGCATATATATACGCACTTACAAACGAAAGAAGCGGCAGGGCAAGGAGCGTACGAGTGACAGCACAAAGCGTAAAAAAGGATAAATGAAGCACACAAGGGAAGAATGTTGATAAGCAACGTAGAGCACAAGACAGGCAGCAAAAGAGTGAGAATCAGGCTTGTATACAGTGGGAAAGAGAGGGAGAGAGAAAGAGAGCCAAAACGGATACAAAGCCACCGGCAGCGACGCCGACAGCGGCGACGAAGTGGCAACGCCGACGCAACTGCAGGCGGCACACCCAAAGTTGAGAAAAAGGCTGCAAATAACGTCAAAAACTATTATCATTCAGATGTGTTAAATGATAATATTATTGCAATAAAAAGCTACCAATGGATTATTGATTATTTTAAAACACAATTAACATACAATTTGCTTGATATTTGGCAATTACTTTCAACGCGCCCAACCCACATACACTCACTCACTCACACGCACGCATACTGTCAAGACTATGGCGTCCTTTTTGAATTCTGTACGCTTAAGCTGTCTGTGGCAGTTATACTACAATATCTTGTCACTTTAGTAAGCAATACAAATTATTATTGCACGCGGCGTATATGAATTAATATTACGCATACTTATATACACAATTTAAAGTCATAATTCACAGTCTCGTCCTACACTCGCATTCACACACTATTAAAACTCCAAATGTACATACATATACAAAGCGTTATACAGAATTTCAACAGCAGCACTTACACATACAAAGGCACTCAGACAGCTTGGCTTGGTTTTTCAAATTTCGTGATTGCCATTTTTTTTTGCGTTTTTCGAACTCATTTTGAATGAAATTAATATTGTAAGTTGCATTTACCTGGCTCGTTACTTATATTACGCACACGCACTTTATTCTTATATTCTGATTTTTCAAATATAAACCGCAGTTCGTACTTCTTTCTTTTAAACTACTTTCTGTCTCTCGTAGAGCTGTCAAACAAACCGAATGCGTTGAAGCAGAGTGTGTGTGAACGAATGGGCACATTTTTTTCATTTTTATTCCCTTAACCGAGCTAAACGCTGATATCTATCGATAGTTGTGTAGTATCTATTAAGAAAGTTAAGCGGGGCGAGTTGGCCGCTGTTGAATTTAAAATCGAAACAGACGTTATGTGTTTGAAAGATTTTTAATCTTGCTAAAGGTTAAAATGTGAAGTGAAATGATTTACTATAAGTTTAATCGTATAGTTAGTCATAAAATATTTAACGTTAAGTTGTGAAGTTACGGACTTTTATCTTCATAAGGGCTAGAGATGTGATGAATATCGATTTTCAAAGATTACCAATATATATCGATATAAACACATTTTACACTTTCCTCGGCATCCCCCGATTTTGTCTAATTCGGTATTTTTTCAAGTACATGTAAACGGTCGCACCCAATAACATAAGCAGATCTTATTCGGCGGGAAATGGGAGCAAAGGAAGCGTTGCAATATATGGACTTAAACGTGTTTAAACACACATAATAGAAAGCTGATATTATAACATAAGGATGCCGTCAACACCAAATGAAACATCGCCAACCAGTCGTAAACGTTACTGCGGCCTGGGCAATCATGTTCTACGTCCGCCACACAAAACGATTACCAACGAAAAACTCCTTAGTTTCGCCAAACATATAAATCCTGAATTACGTAGGACGACGCTCATTTGTGGCAGCTGCCTTGAGACATTGCTAAAGATCTACCGAGTCAAGGTGCAGCACGCAGTACAATTACGAAAGGACAAAAATAATAACTCAGGAAAAACGAGTTCCATATCAGATGTAAGCACTAGTCAACAACAAACGGAGAGCTCCACTGCCGTATCGGCATACTCATCCACATCCGTAAGTCCAACCACAATATCAACAAGCAACGAAGAGACCTCCTCCAACACCAGCACCAACACGAAGCGTAAACGTGTGCAGCACCCGCCTTCAAACAGCGACGACGATGATGAACCCATGCTAAGTCTGAATGCTGTGAATGGAACTCGGCTCCCAAACATACAGCCCGTACCGAAGCGTCGTCAATTCGTCCACTTAAATAAAGAAGTGATGGACATTTATTTGAGTGGCACAACAGGCGGGTAACAGAGACTTAGTATAGGTTTCCCATCAACGCTTCTATTACACCCACTTTCAAGACTAACTTTAGGAAATAACGTGATAGAAATAATCGCATTAGCTTACGCATTTGCATGTTAATTATATTTTGTAATTTATTGATTTATCGTAAAGTTAAGTGCAATAAAAAGCACACTTAAAACGGTTAATCATTATCGTTTGCCTAGTTACCACCATATAAGAAGCCATTTAGTTTACATTGATCAAGTTTATGTATAAGCCAGAGAAATATGTCAATGATCCTCTATTCTACATTTTTAAGCTTTCTTTATAGTACAGTCTTATGTTTGTATTGGTCATTTTGAGATTCTTGATAAGTTAATGTAATGATGTACGAATCCACATGCAAATTGCCTGTATTTAGTTATTTCAATTTAAAAAATTTTCGAAATGTTTTAATCAATATCTGAGCTCGCGGAATAGCCTAAGTAAGTAAGGAAATATTACATTTCCAGAACAATGGATTGTGTATAAATAGGATACGGATAACGCCCAGTCATACCAAGTTTTTATGGTCCACAAACCTCCATATATATTGAAAATAAAGTTTTAAAATTTACGTTTCTCACTCAATTCAATTGAGCATATATCTCGATTAATTGCTGGTTTCGATTAATTTGAAATCGGATATACTTCTGTTAAATCTAGCTTATCTCAGACCAATGCCAATTAACAGATGTTAAATTTGAAATAATGCGGTTACTATTTCGTTGAGTAATTATTAAGCCAATTGGATATAGATATAGTTTGAACATGCGGAGTATGTACTTTTTTGTGTCTTTTTAAAGTAAACCAGTAACAAAGTTGTATGGGTAATCGTGTTAAAATTCATGTATTACAACTAACAGACTGTTCGACTCAAATTCGGAATCAAAATAAAATATGAGCTGCTTACAAAACAAGCAAATGTTTTCTGATGAATTGTGAAACTTGAGTATTTATTATTGTATCACGTTTTAAACCGTAATGTATTAAAGAAGTATGAATTACCCTGAATGAAATGAACAATATAAATAAACATAATTGGCTTCAGAATTGAAATTAATTTATGTTTCTAAAATTATTTCATGTTAAAAAAGTTTCTGTTATTACTTAAACATTTAAATAAATAGGTAATAGAAAACTCCGTAACTACTTAACTCAGCAAATAATTATTAATTCGATAGTTCATAGTTCATAGTTATAACGATTAATTCATAATCAGCTGATTCTGTTATGTATCTGTTAAAGTACACTATTAACAGTTTCGTTCCGTTTTACATATTTAAATTTTTATAAAAGCATTTGTTTTTGTCATTACTAGTGCAAATACAATACCATTAATTATTTAAATAAATATCATTAAACTATGATACAAATGCCGTAACATATATATCTATTACATAGTAAAGTGTATACAGAGTAAAATTGCTGCAAACTGTTAATACAAAGTTCGCAAAATGTTAAGTTAACATGCGAGCAATGAAGCAGCAGCATCAAACAAAAAATAAAAATAATTTAAAAAAGATAATTATTAAAAAACTACTCGCAAAATAGGACTAAAGTACTTCATAGGCTACATGCTACTTAATTGTTATGCAGTTAACAACAATACTCAATCTCTAAATGGAGCTCCACACTCTTTGTCAACTTTCTTGCCATACGTCGTGCCCATGTTAAGGATAACAGAACACAGCTAAAGGTGTGTATTATGTATTTAGTTGGAGTTTCTGTGATTTCCATCCTTTGCTGTAGCAGTACGTTATGGGATGCATCACTAGCACCAACAAACTGAGTGAGCTGCGACAGGAGAATGTCTTTCGTGTGCGTGTCGCCCATCTGCAACCGAGTGGGCCGGAGGCACCGATTGTACGTAGTGGTTACTTGGAATTGACGCCACGTGAATTGATTTTCTTGACGCCTGGCTGTGAGCCTATTGTGTGGGCACTGCAGCACCTTCGACGGTATGGCCTCAATGGGGATCTGTTCTCCTTCGAGGCTGGACGCCGTTGCATGTCCGGACCGGGCATCTACACGTTTCGCATACACAATGCCGAGCAACTTTATCCGATGTTTCAACGCTATATAAATGCCGTAAATACGGATGCCTTTGCCCAAGTGGAACGGGAACGTGAACGGGATCGCGTGAATTCCACGCATTCAGTTTCTGTACTTATGGGTCGCAGCGATGTACAGCCGCATAGCAACAATTATCTGGAGCCGGCTCCAATGCTTGCTCGCACCGCATTGCAGTCGCAGCAGCAGCACCCAAATGATGTAATTGCCTTGGCTACCGATTCACCAGATTCGCTGCCAAATCTGCAGCTCGTTAATGCTGACCAGGTCAGCAATGGGGCACTGCAATCGCCCATCACACCGGGCGCCTACATCAATACAAATGCCAATGTCTACTTCGATCAGCCGATGCAGCGCATACTGCAGGAGCAGAACAGCTGCAACTCACCGCTCCAGGCGACGCCCACGTCTACAAATAGTGCACTCAGCACCATGCGAAGGCAGCAGCACCAGCATCAAAATTTAGGAGATATGCCGCCACAGGAATCAGCGCCGGTTCTCGCTGAAACGTTACGCCTGTATGCAAATGTGGATCGTTTGCTCTTTGATAGCGAGCGTTGCTATGAGAACATCAACCGGTTGGATTTGCCCCTGCTGCCACGTGACTCTTCGCAGCATTCGGTCGCCTCCTCATCGCAGCAACAGCAGCAGCAGCAGCAGCTACAACAGCAGCCACAGCCTGTTACCCCAACGAGTTTGCCAGGCGTTAACTACATCGTGCTCGACTTGGATCAACCAAGGAGTCCGGCGCAAAGCTCACCCAAGCCACACACTAATAGCTTTGGCAGCGGACTTTCTCTCTCTAATACAGCGCCCCTAACGCCGGAAGGAAGTAAAGCATCCGATGCAACCACACTATCACAAAACAGAAACTCCACTGCTGGAACATGCTCAACACAAGCTGCAGAAATTGTGGTCTCTCAAGGCTATTCCACAATTGACTTTATACGCACCTACGCTTTGAACAAATCATCAGCAGCAGCTAACCACGATAGCGAATCTAACACCAGTTGCCAGCAGCAACCAGATCACGGACAGGAGGAAGGGGAGCTACGCAACACGCGGCACAGCAAATGTATGCGAAAGGCTTACTCAATAAGCGAGTAGTGTACAAGCCAAATAGTCCTCTAACAAGTTGAAAACAAGTAGAAAGTCAGCCAAAATACCTATGAAATTGACGAATAGAAAAGGAACAGCGAATTACCGAATCGAAAAGGAACGAGTGGGCTCAATGGATAATAAATAAGGCCCAAACGGATACCGAGTAGAAAGCGAACGAGCGGAGAGTGACGAGAGTGAACTAACGAGTAGAAAGTGAAGAGGATCCCAATTCAATGAGTAGAAAACCAAAAACGTAACTCTTTCAAAAAGGTAGCACAACGAATTTACCACAAAAGAAAAGAAGCTAGATAACAAGACAAAGACAAGGGTTCAACTTATGGCCCAAACCAAGAAATTATGGCCAAATGTGTATTTGATTACAGATAAGCAGTTTGTATGCAGAGCAAAATCACACACAAAAATTGCAATCAGGTTGTTTCAATTGATGTACTTAACTCATATATATATTTATTATAAATATATATAAATATATATATATATATATATACATATACAATGTGCACATATACATACATAAGTATTTTTACAGACACTCACAGATACACACATCGGGCTGTTTTTTTAGTGCTAGTCGCTTTTGAAATGTTGTGCGAAATGAATTTTCCTTTTGTGAGAACGTAACATGTAAGGCTTTTAAATTGTAAGCCATAAATGATGTATGACGTATGTACATGTACATCACGTATACGTTAAACACAGTTAAGCGAATATTCAGCATGCAGAACATTAAATTAATGCTTTCTTTATTGAATATGTTTGCTAAATAATCGCTGTTAATCTAATTTATATATATATGCTTTATTGTTATCCAAAATTGTTTGGAAATTTATGTAAAATGAGTCCAGCTTTTATACGTATATACACATGTATCTTGTTGGATTTGCAAATTGTATTTTAGATGCAGAAATATTTGAATATTATTTGTATTACTGCCTAGGGTCTAAGACAGAGATGTGCAATAAATATTTAATGAAAAATTATTCATAAAAACCAAATTGATTTTCTTTATATATTAACTAAAATTAAACTTGTTTTAAATTTTTTAAAATTAGTTTTGATTTTAAAGCATGTAATCAAAAGAAACCGAATGCAAGGTGCTAAGGAGGAACTGACATAGGATCATGGCTAGATCCGGCTATCTCGTTCTGTTCAAAGACTGGGGTAAGGAAACGGATATACACGAAATAAATGTGAGATCTGTTGATCGCAAACCACACAAACATTTCCAGTGTATACAAGCGTCAAACATAGAAAAAAAAGCGCAGACATTGCTAAATTGCCGCTATGTTGTGTTCAACATTTTGAAGTCAAATACGATAATGAATTGCAAAAGCATAAAATTAATAATTCAGACATCCACACTTAATATTTAAAATTGGCAATGATATCACAAACTCAGTGCGAAGACTATTGAGCTGTATAAGCCACAAATCCACTCAAAATTTTCAGTGTGTCCACATGTGTGTGAGCGCAAACATCGATAAATTGTCGAAGCTGTGTTGTGTTTACCGTTTTAAACTCAAATATAGCGACAAACAGTGGGATGTTCAACTGCGTAAATTAATTTGATAGATTATCAAACCCTATGAATACTTGCACTTTTATGGGTTAGAAATATAATAACTTCAGCTGCAGTTGAACAAAAGTAATTACAATTCAGCTGCAATAACACGAACTTAAGTGGAAAGAGGTCTACTCAGATTTCAATGTATTTACTCGTCTATATCACTAATACAACGATCCTTATAGCAACGTCACATTCATTATCAACAATTGAGACAGAGAAGAGACTCAATTTGAGCTTCCATTTCAGTGAGACTTGTGCCACTGACATTGATTGTCATGGGCGGACGTGTTCATTTGTACACGCTCTTGGCATTCGTCTATATTTTGACCTTGGCGAAATGCGATCTCGGAGCGGAGTTGGCGGCACGCATTGCACCTGAAACATCGCCCGATGTACAGGAAGAAGCTGTGACACAGCTTATTCAACGTGTGATTGGATCTCGAGCGTCGCAATTGTTTCAGGTGGAAGTAAACAAGATGCTGGAAGCAAATAGCTACCAAGTGAGTAAATAAATAAATTTGGAATGCAAATATAATTGAATATATTGATTATATATACTTTATTTGAAAAAGTTCACAGTATGAATAATCGAAAAAAAAATTAATTACAATTCTAGATCAGTCGATTAGATAATGGAAAAGTGTTGATTGCTGGATCGAATGGTGTCTCTGCATGCAAGGGCTTCCATTATTATTTGAAACATGGGCTCAACAAGGATTTTGATTGGTTTAAGACTTATATTGAGCTACCTGAACACTGGGAGATGCCAAATGTGATACACAAATCAAAGTCCGGTAGTTCGCTCATCTACTATCAAAATGTTTGCACTTGGAGCTATAGCTTTGTGTGGTGGCAATTTGATGAGTGGCGCCGTCACATCGATTGGATGGCAATGATGGGCATTAATCTTGTGATAGCTCCCAATCAGGAGGCCATATGGCAGAACGTATACACAGATCTCGGTCTCACTCAACAGGAAATCGATGCACACTTTGCCGGTCCGGCATTCCAGGCCTGGCAACGCATGGGTAATATTCGTGGCTGGGCTGGACCACTGCCACCCGCACACAGACAGCTGCAGCAACTGCTGCAACAGCGCATTCTCAAGGCACAACGTGAATTGGGCATGAGCGTGGCTTTGCCAGCATTCGCTGGACATGTTCCGACTGCAATGCAACGCATCTTTCCCAATGCGAGCTTTACGCCAGCCGAGCGATGGAACAACTTTCCTGATCCATATTGTTGTGACCTGTTTGTAGAACCGCACGATCCACTCTTTCAGCAAGTTGGCGCAATGTTTTTGCGCCGTGTCATTCAAGTCTATGGATCCAATCACATATACTTCAGCGACCCGTTTAACGAAATGATGCCACGTCTTAAAGAGCCCAACTATATTCGATCAACAGCGAAAGCAATTTACAACTCAATGGAAGAGGTGGATTCTGATGCAGTTTGGCTGCTGCAGGGTTGGATGTTCTTAAGAGCTTTCTTCTGGACAGATAATCTTATTGAGGCCTTCCTGACCGCTGTACCATCTGGTCGCATCCTCGTGTTGGACCTACAAAGTGAACAATTTCCACAATACCAGCGTACTCACTCTTACTATGGCCAGCCATTTGTGTGGTGCATGCTAAACAATTTCGGTGGCACACTGGGCCTCTTTGGCTCCGCACAGGTGATCAGTAGTAAGATAATAGCTGCACGCTCCATGCCCAACAGCAGTTTGGTAGGCGTTGGAATAACGCCTGAAGGCATTGGGCAAAACTATGCTATGTTCGCCCTCACTCTCGAGCAGGGCTGGAGCGTAGATGTGTTGCAGCTTGAGAGTTGGTTCCAGCACTTCGCTTTAACACGTTATGCTGTTAATGATACACGTTTATCGCAGGTGTGGCAATTGCTACGTGAAAGCGTCTACTCCTTCCATGGCCTACAACGCATGCATGGAAAATATTCGTTAAATAAAAGGCCAAGTTTAAATCTAAATCCATGGATCTGGTACAATGAAACAACGATTTATGAGGCCTGGGGCCTAATGTTGGAGGCAAGGGAAATTGTACCTCTAGAAGATGACAGGCTTTCCATCTATGAGCACGATCTGGTGGACATAACTCGCCAGTTCCTGCAACAGAGCTTCGACCGCATTTATGTCAATCTAAAGTCAGCTTATCGCAAGGAGCAGCTTGGTCGTGTGGAATATTTAGCTGACAAGCTTTTGGAACTGTTCGAAGATATGGAGCGCATACTGGCCAGTGGACATAATTATTTATTGGGCAACTGGCTGGAGGCCGCCAAGCAATTGGCTCCCAGTGAGGAGCATCGTCCCATCTATGAATTTAATGCACGAAATCAGCTCACGGCTTGGGGACCGAACGGTCAGATTCTTGACTATGCGACAAAACAGTGGTCTGGCTTAATGAGCGACTATTACCAGCCTCGTTGGAATATGTTTCTGGAAGGTGTGAAACTGGCACTGCAATCGAAAAAACCTTTTAATGCCTCAGAATTTAGACAGCGGGTTGCCAACGAAATCGAGCTGCCATTTAGCAACCTAACCAAAGTATATCCCACATCTCCGGTGGGAAATACATGGAATATATCAAATGGCATCCACGAAAAATGGAAATCTTATTTAGCAGATACACAATTTCTGCACAATTGCCGAATCGCGGTAAAGCTAATGCGTGGAAATCAATCAGCAGACGTGCAGTCAAAATAATACATTTAATAGCGAAATGGTAAACATTCATACATTTATATTGATTATCTCCTTTTTATAACAATTGACAGATAATAAAAACTGTTCTAATATTTATAATAATTTAAAATATAAGCTTCAATGTTGCGTTTTATTTATAAAAATAATTGTATAATTTTTGAGTTATAAATATAAAAAAATAAACGTATTTTTTTTAGTAAAAATGAAAAACAATTTAAGATATGTTCATTAAATATTACTTTGAAGTTTTTGTTTTCTATTTCTATTCATGAGTAAAACGAAACAAATGAAATATTGTTTAAAATTAAATTCAATAGGAAAATAATGATCTGATCTTGGTTTTGCTCACAAACCTGCCTCAATTGAAAACATTCTTTCCGATCCCCATTCACATGTATACATACATACATACGTACATTGAGATATGAACTTTGTGGGTTTTTAATTGATTTTTATTTAAATTATTGTACAAACTAATTTAAATGTAAAAATTTAAACATCTTCATCAATCAATCATACGCATACGAATTTCTATGGTTATTTTTTGTTTTGCAATTGTGTGAAGTGTGTTTCGTTTGTGTGTTTTCCGTTTGTTTTAACGCACATTACATACATGTACATATTTTATTTGATTGGTTTTATGCAAGTGTTTTACATAGAATTAATCATTAATCATTTGCTTGATGTGTATGTGTGTGGGGCAAACTACAATTAAGTTTACTTTAATATAAATTGTTTCTTTCGTTTGTATGTGGAAAAAGGAGTATGGGAGATGTGTTCGCTCGTTTTCATTTTCATTCATACACGATATTTCTACAATTATACTCATTTAAAAATTTCAAACAAACATTATCATTATTATTATTATTATAATATGTATTTAGTATTTATGTATGTATAAAGTTTTCATCTTTCGTTTGCTTTGTAATGTAGACGACGATGTTTTACAGCTAAGTTTTGGGGATAGGGAGTGCGTGGTTTTGTTGTTGCTTGTTGGCGGCAAAAGTACGCAAAAATATGTTAATCATATTAAGGTATGCAATTGCGCACATTAACCGCTTACATTCTCGTATAATTTAACCAACTGTCAGCATGTAGATGTTCTTGTGTGTGTGTGTGTGTGGTTATGTGTGCTGTTGTGTGTGTTTGTGTGTATATATATATAACGTTTATACTCATATGCATTCAATCAAACAAACATTTATACTTTTTCTCCAAATGAGAAAACACTCATACATCATTTGCAATCATAAATCATCAATCATCAATCATTAATCATCAATCATCATTATCATCAGCATACTCAAGCTTCAACTAACATCATGCAAGCAGCAGCAGCAGCTACGCAGCATATTTTTATTCATCCTGCATATCCTCTGGCAATTCGTGCGGATTTAACATGCCCGGAATATTACGTTGCATTTGACGTTTATTGGACTGCTCCTCAGCCAATGCGGCTTCACGTTCCTCCAGATACAAATCGGAATCATCCTCACCAGTGGCCTCCTAAATAATACATGAATGTGGTTAATAGAAATGTCGTAGTAAATAACCTTTTTTTCCCTGTTATTTTACTCACGCGTATTTGTATTAGAAAGTCTCTCAAATGCTCCTTAAATGCTTGTACATTCTCGTCCAAATTGAAAAGGCCAGTGACGAAGACTTTGATCTGATTATCCGATAAATGATTAAATGCTGACTTTAGCAATGAGGCCACATATTCCTGTATGAATATCATATTATCCGGTATGGGACCCAAATCAACCGTTATCTTTCGATTCTCAACCAAAGAGAACATATAGGCCAATATAATGGCATGATTAGGCAGGCCCGCTGTATGCGAAGTATCGGTAACCACTGAGAAAATTTGCATAAGGATATCCGTAAAGTAAGTTTGATAGAAACTCTGCGCAGCATTTGGATGTTGCTCAAGATTTTGCAGCATCTGTTAACGAGAAATATCAATTATCTTATGTATCAATCGCTATTTAAATGATTAACTTACCTTGTATAGTATATTTAAACCCATGTCGGCCACATTGCGCATTGTGTGCTTGAAGGCCCACACCACAGAGTCGAACACCAACTTAAACTGAGCCGGCGGTATGTTGAGGAACGCCTTGAAGCAGTGCGCATTAACCGCCTGCAGCAGCTCATAGAAGCTGAAGCGATGCTGCGGAAAATCTTCGAAATTCTTATTGATCATGTCCAGCGTGCATTCAAATACAGCATCAAAGATTTTTGGTACTTCATTTGTGATATGCTGGCGCAATTTATTCACAATCGTTGCCATCGCGTTCAGAACTTTTGGCTCCCGCGCGGACGGAACTTTACACCGCTATAAAAAATATAGTAAATAATTAACATCAAAGTAGACAAGCTTATAGATAAGACAAAAATAAACTGTTATAATTACAGTATGGCCTATATATTATCGGTACACTTCGTCCGGACATTTGGTAATCTAGGCAGTTGTTAGTTAAAAAGCTTGCCTCAACAACTTGAAACTAAATTGTAGCAATAACTTTCAAATTATTGCAATTGTATGAATATTATTTGAAGTATTTGATTTATCAGGTGTGCAATCTAGAAGGACTATTTATTCTGTAGTAAATTTCATAAAAATGTATGGTGATATGTTTTAAGTGTGTTGTTCGATTTAGCCTGTGTCTTGTTGAAGTCAATCTAATCTAAAATAGATATACTTTCTATGCTACTTTCGTTTCATGAAAACAATAAATTATTGCCCAGATCGTGATAAGATCTACGTTTCTTCCCAAGCAATTGATACATATATTAATAACTCAAATTAATGAATGCAACATAAGGAGCAAAGTTTTAAAATCAAAATACAATTTGGAAGAGGAAATGTCTACGCACCTGGTAATCCATCAAGATGGCATCCAATAAGGGCGGTATAAAGTTGTCCATAACTAACTGATTGTCATTGGAGCGCGACACCCATTCGGCTATCAAATTGAGAGTCTCCTTCTTCACAACATGCATTGATTTGATCAGCGGCTGATTGTTCACATTGACGCCATTCACCTCAATGGCCTGAATGATGTTCTCCGAGGTGATCTTGTATACATTAAGCATATCCAAATAAATCCGACCCAATTGAATGACATAGGCGTGGCCCAGTGCTTTGCAGGCGGCCACATTTGTCTTCAGTATGCTGCCTAGCTGCTTAACTGCTGTCATGTTTTTCAGAAAGTCGACATTTTTAGATGCCCGCGATATAATATCATCCCACACCTGATTGGGCAGCAACATATACCGTTCTATAAGCGCATCCTGTTGCACCTGATCCACCTGAGCCGAGATCATATAACCAACTGCCTCATAGAATGTGTGTACCTAAACGGAAAACAAGGAGTATATTAACACAGACAGTGGATGCATAGGTACTACACTTACCTGTTGTGGCTGCAGATCACATATTATGCTGCTCATAGTACTGAGAATCTCGTCAATGAAGGTGCACGCCTCGTTGGGCTGTATTGTAACAAAATAGCGACGACACTTAATTGCAATCTTAATAAACGTATCGCAGGCCATGTCCTGCACTCCGTCGTGTGTTTCGTGCATAAATTCAAACAGCTTGTTCACCACCGTCTTTAGGAATTTCCAATGGGCGCGCAGAAAGCGTGGATACTGTCCAACCACATACATAATGTTGGATGCAATGATCGCCTTATTGTCCTTGCCCTTCTTTTGTTCACAGAGTCCAAGTAGGTCCTTGATGACAGTGACAAGAAATCGCTTTTCATCCTCTTCACAAAATGCACCTACAGAAAGATAATTGTAAAATTTATAAGTTAATCATTTAAATAATTGCCTATTATTTAAAATATCTTTGAATAGAAACATCTGGGTTATTTCATTTTTGAAGTGCAGAAAGATATTTATATATAAAAAATATCCAAAGGAATTATGCATATATATACATGTTTCATACACTTATAATCTTACCCGATATCGATCCAATTGCCCAGCATAGAGTGTTGAGATTTTTCCAGGAGAATTCAGTACCATTGACCTGATTTAATAGCTTAAGGGTCATAATGCGATCCGTGTCCGCGCAATCCAAATGGGTTAGAAACACTAAAGTTTCTCTCATGTTTTTGTACAGATTAATCGAATTGGTGTCCTTCATAAATTCGCGAACCACTTCGCCATTCTCATTCTCAACAACAAGAACTTCCTCTGGCTTGGCCATACGGGAAATCATGATGAAGCGAACCTTGGACAAAATTGTTGCATAGAATCGACGACGGGGATAAACTTGTTGTCGTTTCGAAGACTCCAGTGTTGGTGGAAAGAATTCGGTATTGTACAAATTCTCGACAAGGCAATTCCAGTATTCTAGACAGATTTTAAACACCTCAACGTCCTCGACCTCACTAATCATGACCAAATACATGAGTGCTTGGTTCAAGTAATCAACGTACTTTGCATCTTCCACAAGTTTGCCATGTTCCTTGAGGAACGTACAGAGGAACATGGCTAGATTCAGCACCAGCTCTTGTTCCGTATCGCTACCGCACAAGAACACTTGATTCATATTCATATTTTGGCCAATAATTTGGTCCAGCTGCACCATTGTGTCCTTGAATAGTGTTGCAAAATTATCGTTGTAATTGGCTGCCGATAGGCCCGCAATTTCAGATAGGCACTTCAGGGTTACATTGCGAAACATCGGTACGCTGAGAAACTTAAAGATCAACGTCTCTATAAGCGTCGTCTCGAATATGTAGCCCAATGGTATCCAGTTGAGAAAGCGAAGCAGCGTCTCCAGTGTGACCTGTATCAGCGCCGCATTCATTGAATTCTCCAACACAAACGAGCAGAGGGTGAAAATTTGCGAAAATTCCGAACACATCGTATCCTTCAAATGCTTGGCCTTCGTCTGTGTTATTTGCCCAAGCGAGAAATCAAAGACCTCTTCGCTTAGATTTTTCAGTATAACCATATTGTTCATGCACAAGCTTTCATTTGTTTTCGATGCACCAACAATATCGCTAATAAACGTCTCCCAGTTGCGTGGCCACTCGCGCTTTAGGATCTGCACCAATATCATATTCAGTTTATTCAAATAAACTTTGTTCTGCTCCATGATGGCCGGATCCGAGGATGTTTTTATGATTAGGCTGACGACATACTTTTTGATGCCCTCGCATTGATTGCGAGGCAGCACCTTCCAGCGCGTCTTGATTACCTCCTCGAGAATTTGAAGCGCATAGAACTTGGTTTGCTGATTCTGTGAATATTCGAGTATACTGTCGACACGTGTCCAGGCCTCCGGGTGCTCTTTTAGTGTGGTTAGTATATCCTGCGCCAGTCGCAATTGCTCACCCTGCGATGAGTAAAGTGCCTCAACAATCTTATCGAGCAGATTAATGTCCAGCTTCTGGTTGAAGTCGAGCAGTTTGCTCGCCTCATCGGAGCTCAACATCGCCATCGCTTTGTAGTAAAAGTAGCGTTCGCGTCTGCGTCGCTCAGCAGCAACAGCACCAGCAGTAGCTGTGTCCGCGTTAATTTTGATTGATTTTAGCTTGCTCCTCCGGCTAAAACGAGTGGGGAATGCGCGTCAGTGATGAAATCTGTGATAGCTGGCAGCTGCTGTTTGGTTGATGGGTCGGTTGATTGGATTGACTCTAGAGAAGAATCGAAAATATCGAAAATTACATTTATCGGCATAAAGGCAACCATATTTCTTTTTTACATACATTTACGTATGTTTTCTTATTTTCTACACACACAAACACCAATGAACGATTGCTTGTGGCGCGCTTACTTTTTTTTCGCACATACGAACACGCACTCACACACACACACAGTAGAGATGAGCGATATTTACGTACCTGTTACTCATCCCAAGCATCCTATAGTCTCCAAGTCACTAGCATTTGTTAAGTGACTGGAACTATAGTTGTCATAAATATTTAAACTTTTCCTTAAATAATTGAGAAGTATCGGATGACATGTGCAAGAGTCGTAAACCATGTTTATATTGACGTACATAATCGGAAATTATACCATCTGCTTTATTGCGGATTGTCACAATCATTTAGATACCGCTCATCTCTAACAGACACAAATACACACGCACACACATGCCGCTTACACATGCAAAATACAATCAAAGCAGCGCAACGCATCTCGAGACTGCGACGGCATTTCACAAATCTATAATGTACGCACGGCTTTGGGTTGTTGTACAACACATTTCTTGTTCAATTAAACAGACTCTTAGACACATTAACTTATTTTTAACTTTCACACGCACTTACCTAGTTTTAGAAAAGCGTTGCAACCTACGGCTCCCAAGAAACAGCGTGGAAAACGAAAGCGCAAAACGAGTGAAAAGACTACAACGTTTTTGTCCAGACAGGGAAAAAATTTATTTTCATTTGCGAGACGCACAAGTCAATTTTAATTCTTTAGTAGCAAAATACATGCACGCTGAGTAATTTTTTGCAATTTGGTTAACAACGGTTGACGTTGTGACCAATTTGTATGTTTGAAACAAACTTTTTCGCAGTACTTTTCTTCTCCTTCTGTAGTGAAAACCAGGGATGGATCACAAGCGTCATGCGCGGTGCCGGAATCGAGTAGGGTTTATATAAATATAAGTAGGTTATAGCGACCATAAAGCAAATATAGTGATATTCTTTAAAAAGGTTTGCAATTTTTTTAAGTTAAGGAGGTCGCCTGTATTCAGCAAATATCTACCGGCACAATTAACAAAACACAGTGTTTCCATATTATACAAAGATGAAGCCCTGACCCATAAACGGTTGTATTTGTAAATATCGCTTATCGTCCCAATGTTGACTATTTTCTTATCGAAGTTAGAGTTTCAACGATTCTTGAAAAATATTAATTTCTATTATAGAAATAGACTCAATAATTATGTTAAGCAACATGCAAATATATGAAAAATAAGAAGTGATATGGTGGTATATATATATATAACAAAATGGTTTCGTGACATGCGTGAGCAGATTCCGCACTAGCTCATCTCTAATTTGATTCAGAACGCCTGTACTAGAGAGTAAACAACAACTTCCGATATATAGAAATTTTTGTTTATATTCGATTCGATGTCGATTTATTTGCATTGCTTAACAACTAATGGCGGCTTACCCATATTTACACGTAAAAAGGGTGAATGCGATAACGTAAGAACATAGAGTCACATACACATATATCACATTTTGTTATGGCCATTTGTCGCTTCGTCGTAGCTGCCCTTCTCAACGGTGGCTTCTCTGAATGGATTTCATATGTTCTTCAAATCGCTCGGCATACAATTGCAAACCACGCATACTGAGGAATGGACGTACATATGGCGTGACTTTCACAATGCAATCACGCTGATTGTGTGTGGCCGTGGTATGGGTGAACTTCAACTTCAGGCTCTAGCAGAACTCGCATTCGGAGGAATTTCGCTCTTTATTAGTCGTGATGAGTTAGCCCATCCCGCACTCATGGAGCGTCTAAAGAAAGATGCCAAAAAGTATGTACCCGTTGTAGACGCTGCCCTGGAAGCATCTAGTGCTGGCACAACGCTACTAGGCTATACGGACTGTCTGTTGGCAACGGAAAATGCGCAACTTTTAAACCGTTTGAATGAGTTCAGTACCAATTGTGGTTCTTTGTTTTGTTGTCTTGTTGTGGGCCAGCGCATTGCTGTAGCCACTGAAGGCTGGTGGGACTTGGATACACTTGACAGAGAGCTCTTGTTATTCTTGCTAAACTCTTCAAGTGCGTTGCAACTCGATGTGCCCGTCTACTTGCCCAGCAAAAGTCCAAATATTGCCTTTCGGTTTGTCAGTGTACCGGTTTCGGCGAACAGTGCGCTGTGTGTTCTTTGCGGAGCCGAATCTGCTTTTCGAGAACTGCATCTGAATGCGATGAATGCTTATCGCAATGATGCTAGCCTATTGGCCAATGTCGAACGTTGCGTTCCACGCAGCCTTCCCGAACAGCTGGATATCGATGCCCATATATTGGCAATTATACTAATTAATACTGAGACCCGTAAAAGTGTGTTCACCCGAAACTTGCATCAATCGTCGAGTGCTAAACGAATTGTCGTGGGCGACTTGCAGCGTTTAGACATGCTTAAGAAGTTCTTTGATCATACTTTGGAGAATATCCACGAATTGAAGATGGCCAAAAACGAAAGCAACGCACTAGACATATCAAATGAAATAGTTATGTTGGATCAGTACAGTTGCTCCGACTATCACAAGTGTTATGCCCAGGCCGATGATCAAAATAATATTATCTTTCTGCTTTTTGTTGCCGCGGTGCCCACACATACTATGAGGTAAGTGAACTCCGCTTTCTCTTTTAAACAAACTATTATTTAAGTTTCTTTTATTTGTTAGGTTTTTTGCGAAGCAAGTCTATGCTAGCTTATTGCAGGACAAGGCCGTTTGCTGGTGAACCAAAATGGGGTTTTTAAACTGTAAAACAAGCATTTTTTAACAAGAAAATAAGGAATCTAAATATGGAATATCCTTTCAGAACAATCATATCTCAAAAAAGTATAATTTTTTAAACAATACTATTAATGAACTTATGAGACTGATAATGCAATAGTTCTAATGGAATTTAATTATTTCTTATTAACTGGATATTTATACACATAAATTGTATTTAAGTAAGATGGTGTTGGTATTAATGCATAGACAATTTCATTGTAATGCACGTGAATCTCAATGTTTTAAGTGAGTTCCAGGATATCTTCTAACTGCGACGTTTGCGAGATTGATTGCATTGTAATATTTAAGATTTATGTAAAATTAATCTGGTGCTGGAACAAACATATATTTTTAATAAAATGTTAAGAATATTTCTTATCACTTCTTTTAAACCCGTCAGTCTTTATAGCTTATTAGTTAATTTCTTAAAAGTTGAATTATTAAATAATAACAAGTCATTTCCATGCAATATGACCTTCGCAAAATGTTACCTCCTTATAACATTACTTTACACGTAAAGTGTGGCTATACCAATAATCTTGCTATAGTATGACCACGCTACAGTAAACCCTACGTACAGCATTACCTCGTGCTTCCCTATAGTATTACAAATCTTCAATGTACACTGTCAAGTTCACACGAATGTAGTCTCGACCGTTGTTCGGGTTTCTAAACAGTCTGGATTGTTGAGTCGCTTCGTTAACAGGTATTATGTATTTTTAAATAATTATTAAATTTGAATGAAAAATACATTTGCTAAGCGAAGTCAAGTCACTGTTTCTGTTCGCCAGGCTCTACTGTACTTGTTCATATACGATTGAAAAAGTTATTTAAATTGATCTATAATTAATATAAGAGGCTCGCAGCGCATTTTACCAGTTGTCCATATCCATAGATTCCCATTTCCATAAGGCACATGTATGTTTTCTGAACAGTTGTCAAACTGTATTCGTAGAGAGTCCAACGATGTCAAATCTAATAAAAATAATTACAAATTATAAATTCAAAAATGTCATCAACAATTTCAATGCTAATTTGCGCATTTCCAGCATAGTCACGACTCTGGGCAATGCTCTTAGCTAAGCCCATATACAGATGCCATTTGCCCCTAACTTACAAAACTGAACAATCCAAATGGAAATCAAGATTTCTTGAAATTTATATATCACACAGTTCAGCAGTTGAAGACGATGTTGACCTGAGGAGTTTCAATAGAAAGCCTTCAAAATAAGTCTCCACAGCAGTTCCATATGTGTAATAGAAGCAAACCAGCGAGTCAGAGAGCCAGCCCGTTGTTGATTAATTACAGTCCATTCCATTTGAATTGAAGCTAAACAGTCCAAAACACAGTAAGTGCCCCATTAAAATGTTCGACGCGTTCGGGTTATAAAACTAATAAATAAATAAAGCCAAATCAAATGTCAATATTATTTTTTAACAATCAGTGCGCATTCGGCGCCCTGCGTGTACTGTTCGATGTCGGAACTTTGAAAACATAAAAAAATTTAACTAAATTCTATGTCAATATTTTGTGGAAGCGTTACGTCAATAAGTTCAAAGATAAATATATAAAACATGCTGTTCCTGCGCTCTAACGAGGAGCACTCAGACGAGGAGCTCTTCAAAATCAAACAATTGCGTCAGCTCGTAGAGAGTGAGAGAAGATGCCACGCTCCATAAATGTGATTTAACTTTACTTTACTCTCTTCAAACCATTCGCAGAGTCTGATGAGCTGCATGTGGGCACCGATGAGGTATTTTTGACCAAATTTCTGCATTACACCAATTGGGATACATTCAGGGCATATCAAGCTATACATGCCTATTATGATTTTAAGCTAAAGCATCCCACCTGGGTGGCTCAGCACCCTGTACAGTATTATGCAAAAATATTCTATGCTACGCAATGTCGATTCGTAATGCCCCATACGGATAAGGATGGACGTGTGCTGGTTATCTTTAAGACGGTGGACGCGTTTCAACAATTTCCCGATTATTTGCAGCATTTGGTCGAAATGGATGATCTCATCTTTGAGTCTATGTTAATGTTGCCGCGAGTTCAGCGAAATGGCATAACGGTGATTTGTGACCTTCAGGGGTGGGTACTCAAGGGAGAGAAAGAATACACGTCTCAGTTACATGTTCTAATTAACTCAATTTTCTCTGCAGCACAACTAGAAACTTTCTACGTCAGTTCTCGCCGATGTTCATGAAGATTGTGAATGAGAAGAATACGGTTCTGCCCTTTTCACAGCGAATTGTGCACATCATACAACGCGGCTTTCTAATGCACGTGACATCTTCACTATTTCTTCCCTTTATGAATAAGGATTTTAAAGAGCGTGTAAGTAGCAAATCGGTCAATGTCATTGTAATCATAAATTAATCGATTTGATGCCAGATCTTCACTCACGATGGTCGACATTTGAACAAACTGCGAGAGATGGTTGGAGTTGATTGTTTGCCTGCAGAATATGGCGGTCCAGCAACTAATGTGCTCGATACAAATTTGATTTTTAATCATTTAAGCCAAAATTCGGAATACTTAGAGCAATTGCAACATTATAATAAGCGTTGAATAGAGAACAGACATGATTCTATTTTATTAAATATAATTGACATTAAAGTTTATAAACGTTATATTAAAAAACTAGTATACGCTAAAAAAACAAGGGCTTTCAATATAATAATAAGCGGTTTAATTGTCCCAATTCAAAAAAGATTGCTAGATGCAATCGACAGCAATGATAACGTCTTTTATTTAACATCGATTAATCCGCTATCGACTTATCAAGAGCGAATATGGCGCCAGTTCGATGCTTCTTCTTTGCTGCTCATTCGTTACTAACAACAAGAAACCGATAATTGGATTTGTTTTCGATAACTTACGCTGCGTTGTGAAATTAGTCCGGTTACTTAAAAAAAGTAAACTTTATCAGCTTACACTGATGGCTTCTAATAAGGTAATTAGGCAAAGCTGACTCGTTATTACAAACAAATAGTTTTATAAATATTTTACACTTCTGTAGGAGTGTTTAATTATTATACTAGACGTGCGAAACAGCGCCTCCGAGGAATTCAAATTGAAGTCCGTAAAATGCGTTGCGGAAATAATAAAGGACAAAGTAATATTATTGATTACTTATGTATATATTCTATCTAGATAGATAAATTCCCTTTTTTATGCCAGATTGTCGGCGGCAAGAAGGACTACGTATCTTTTGTATTAGTGGGCTGCGAGAATAGCGACAATGATTTATATACGGCTGATAATAAAGTCTGCCAAAACGTAGTTCAATATTCGAATACGCAGCTTTGCACATGGCAGCTTTTGCTTAGCTTCTTCAAATTCGTCAATGAGCCAACCTGCGATGCTGGCGAATGGCTTGATGGCCTCGCCGTAGCAATGGCTATGCAACAGGTAGCTCTGCCGTAAGTTTACAAATATATCAATAGACATATCTATATTTTATGTAAATATATCTGTTTGTAGCTTGAAGTGTGCTAGGCAGCGTATTTTGCTTCTCTATGACTTCAATTACATGTCACAGGGATACGACGACTATAACCACATCTGCGACAATTTGCTTAATGCAGGCATCGAGTTAATTGTAGGGTAAGCTTCTGTTTTATAGAATATGGGAATTTTGTGTACTAATGTCAATTTCTATTGTTGCTTAGTTCCCACAACATTGCCTATATAGACAATGCTGAAACCAGCCTGCCCCAGGCCATTTTTCAGTCCTCGCGAAAGCCCAATATCCATGAGCTGGAGAACCAGAACCGTGCTCTACAGTTAGTCAGCAACTGCAATGCCGTATTGTGCAGCTTCAAGGAAACATTGGCCTCGGTCTTTAAGGTGTCTAATAGACGCCCCTGGGTTTGGAATGCCAAACTCCATATTGGAAGTGTGATTGCAATTAGCTTGCAGGGCATTATAGCCATGAAAGCCGAAAGTCACATTAAGTTGAAGAAGGTGTGGGGCGAGGCTGAAGAGTTGGTTGAGCGAGAGGAACGTTTTTTTATTAAGGGCACAGAAGTTACACCCTTGCCTCAAGATCTTATCGATGGTTATATGCTTGGCGGCACTCCAGTGCCGTATGATGAGACTCTCGTTGAGCTGCCACCCTCCCATGCACCGGGTCTGCATTTTGTGGGATTTGTGAAGCACAGCAGCATACCTGATGTTTACTTTTGCGGCGACTCACTTTACATGCTGGTTCATCAGAAGGGCAACACAACATCTGCCCAAAAACTGGATGCCTTGGTGAGAGCATTGATAGCCCAAAAGTGTGTTATACTGTGCTGGAAAATTTTCAGTGTCAAGTTTAATACGCCACGCATTGTGGTGCTAATTCCGCAAGAGTCCACAGAGGATCGCCCGGCCACCTTATACATGCAAGAGTTGTCATATCATGCTCAGCACCAGTTCTGGGATTTTCCCTCCCTGCGCACTGAAAAGACAGAGTGTAACAAAGATCAGCTAAAGGCTGTTGACAACCTGATTGATAGCATGGATCTGGAGTGCACACTGAAGGATACCCAGCAGCCTAGACAGCGACGACAAAATGATCTGTTGCCATTCGATGGGCTGCCCAGCATTTATGAGCAGAATGTGATGGACGTATTGGAGCGAAAGGTTATCTGCCGGGCAGCGGACGATGAACAGTTCCAAGAAATGCTACAAGACAAAAACTTTGTCGACATCTTTTGGCGAGTGCCTGAACCAATTGAGGAAAAATCCAAACAGGCCGCAGCGGCGCTCAAAAAACTATTTCCATTGGAGCATAGTCATGCATGGCTAGAGAAGCTCAAGGCCAAGGAGCAAGAACAGAATTCAGCACCAGCTATCAAGCAAGAACGCCCAGATCCAATCAGTATTGATAGCGTGGGTCTAATGACACCTGTCCAAGATTATAAACAACTGCTACAAAATGTACGCTCCGAGTTAAATACTACTAAACGGGATGCTCAGTTCCAGTCGTTAGCTGCGCAAATGCGAGTGGTTGTTATTACGTTGCTGGAGCGCAGCAAATTGGATCTCAATCAGTTGAACGAAGTGATAAAACTGTATCGAGACAGTTGCCTCGAATTCAACAGCTTTACGGAGTACAATCAATTTGCGACGCAGCTAAAGACCAAAGCAACCGAAAGGAATCTTCAGCAGTTTTGGAACACCATTGTGGTGGAGAAGCAGCTGGGCCCTCTCGTATTGGGTGAGCCAACCCTGGAGGACGAGCTGCGTCTCAAAAAGTTTTATACTAATCCAGAGTTCGAAGTTGATACTGAAATGCAGGATGATTCATAATAAAAATAATGTTTATAAATAATATACAATTAATTTAAAAACTAGTTTAATTAAAAAAAATATTTAACTTTTGTAAATTTAATTTATTTCGTTTTTCATGAAGTTTAATATACATTTACAGTTCCACGAAACAAGTATGGGGCAAAGGAATAAACAACCAATTGGACATTTTCATTAAATATAGTAATTTTTTTCGTTGATGCATTACATATATATTAATATATTAATGTAAAATGTAAAATGTAAAATTATTTAGCCAAATGGGAGCATAAAAAATTAAAGCTTAATGGAAAACGGCTTAAGGAACGAACAATTTTAAATATTTGCCAATCTTAAAAGATGTACACCTAACAATTTAAGAATGGATAGGGGACGTTAAATAAGCAATGCCATTTATATACATTGCATATAGCTATATGTGTGAATGGGTGTGTGTATGTGTATGTATGTAAGTGAGAAACATTAAATACATTATAATTTGTTAACACAATCTGTGTAAAGGTTGCAAGCAAGTGCATGCAAATTATTATGTTTACAAATGTCGTGCGATGGAGCCAAGAGCTACTTCTTTGCACCGAGCGCCCTAGTCAATGTTCAGTGAGGACATCAGCTCCTCGACGCTGTTGAGTAGATATACCAAAAAAGGTTAGTGAAATTTTACTATATATGAATAACGTGGAAGACATACGTTATATCGAGATCCTGGAAGGCTACGCCCAGCCAGGCAACAACGAGGCAATAGTGCTGGAATAGCTGTAGCAGTAGCTCTCCCTCATCCAACATTTCTAGACGTTCTATGCGTTGGCGCTCCGATGACGAAATGCTTTCGTACACCTGTACCATGTCCCAAGCGCGTGCTCCGCTCCAGCCACAATCCTTGAACCGATTGGTTTGAGTTTCCAGTGACAAGCAAGATTCCACGCCCGCCAAACTACAGCCTCGACTGCGCAGATTGTTAAGCATAACATCGCCAAACCGATCGTTCATGTTGACCTGTGATGGAGACTCGATTGTTACTGTGTGCGTAACTCGGATGAAGTTTCAATTTACCTGTTCATAGTTAACAAAGACGGCTGCTTGGAACTTCTGCGCTATCCATTTGAGTAGATTTCCACAGTTTTGAGCTTCAATATAGACCAGTACGCACTCCGCGAGAAATATGGTGGGCAGAGTGAAGTCCACTTCGGCTTGCTGCAGCTTATTGTCCACCTCATCCAGATTGCGTAGGTCTACACCCATCAAATGATAGTTGGGACCATGCAAATCAGTCGGGCTGAGACGCACTTCTCCATCCTCGTCGTTTATTTTGGCCAGCAGTGCTTTGTTGCGTTTGATTGTATAGCATTTGCGCGCGGTCACTGTGGGAAAATCTAGCTCAATGAAATTCTTCACCTGGTGCGGTGTGTCTCGCAAACGAAAGTAGAGCGTATCAAAGCCACATCCAAGGTTGATGATTTGACAATTTCCAGAAGTTTTCTGCAATGGTCATGGTCAGTTTAATTGAAGGGCAAGGTTGTATATGTAGCTGGGACGTGATGCACATCTACAACACATGCGCATCAGCATCATTTTTGCCTATGCAACAGGATTCCAGTAGCATTGAGAAATTCAATGTCACAGTTCAAGCGATGCCTCGACCTTAACTTGTGCCTTGTTCAGATAGTTGGGTGGCAATAGAAATTATGTGACCTACTTGCATGCTAAAAAAAGCTTCTCATATTTTTTTAAATTAATTACGTACCCAACGAATAAAATAAATTGAACTATGTTCGAAAAATATTTCTATCGATAGCAAAAAAAAAAAAATGATCGGCCCACAAGGATTCGGAGTCTCTACATACATTGTCTACAATCGAGATACTTCTAAATAGAATTCTATCGATGACAAATAACACATGATCATTATTAATATAAACCATATTTCTTAAAGAAATTAGTCTATAGTTAAATTTGTTCTTTAGAATAAACAAATATTAGAAGAAACAAATAAGATTAAAAGTAATAGTCAACTCATTTGCCAATATACAAAAGGAGGCAGTGAATATTCATTTCGCGCATGTCCCATTTCTTGTGTTTTTTTGTTTGCTGCAGCCTTCAACTGTAAATTCAGTAGATACAACTAACCTTCAGAAACTTCTCCACACACATCTCAACGCCCTTGACGCGTGCAAAGTAACCGCGATTTATTTCAGGTGCTTTTCTTTCCTGATTGCGCACAAAGAACCCAATGTAGTCATCCTTCCAGTATCCAAGGCGCACAGCACCTCGTTTGCAATCGCTGGCATCGTCATTGGTAGCGATGACGGCTTCATCACATGGATGAAATTTGTGTGTGCTATTGTTATGTGCGACTCCTCCGCCTGCTGACGGAGGCTCCATTGTTAAGCTTCTTTGCTGCTGGACTCCTGTCACCTTTCAACGCGTCCTGTTTTTGAGAAAGACGGCAACCGGATTTCTTTGGTTCAACTACTTTGTCACTTCAAAACCGTTTTTTTTATTATTTTGACTTTTTCGTAACTTTGATTTCTTCCACCAGTTGTGTGAATGCAAATGAGTATAAAAAACGGCCCGTAAACAGCTGCAAGCATCGATAACATCCGTAAGTGTTGGTAAACTTGTAATTAGCAACTTTTGCTGTCGGCGTCTGATAAATATTATATCGATTAAATAAGAAACCGCCAATTTTAAAATTGGTACACTATCATATTTAATATTTGACAGAAATATATATTGCTACAAGCTGAACACATTCAAAGACTTAATGCTGATTATTGTATTAGCTGGAGTCAATTTAAAAGTAGGCAATGAGCAAATGAGAATTCTGTTGTAGTCGTTTGTAAGTAACGCGTGCCACAATCAAGTCAAAGTTAACTCCATCATCTATGTAAGTGCTATAATTGTTTCCCGCATGTTTGACATCGGAAGCGACGGCTGTTATAATTAAAATTGTCAGCTACGCCCAAGCCACTGAGTCTTCAACTCAATAAGTCGGGGTCAAAATGTAAACTGGCTTTAATTGTTGTTTCGCTTTTGTATTTGCAATGACGGTGAATGAATCACAACCCCTGGCGAAAACAAATTAGTTTCCTTATAACGATAGAATGACAAATTATGCAAAGTGCAACTTTTTGTCATGTAAAAATATCTCATTGGATCGACAATTGCATCTAACCAAATTATTTGCTATCCAACGTCGCGGAGTCGCAATGCTCAAAGTTTTAAAAGTTTTGGTTGATGGCCCTTAATTAGGCAGACGTTATTAATTGAAGACTTTTTGAACTCCGTCAATGGGCAGAATAGGGTTGATGTGTTGAACATTAATTCAAGGGCGTGAACTGAAAATTTGTTTTCAAAACTGTCTGTTTGATCCCTAATGAAATAAACAAGTAAGTTTATCAGCTTACTATATTTGTTTTATTTATATTTCATTATATTTTAAATAACCACAAAGTTATAAAGTTTCTATATTCATTATATACCTAAAGATAAATCTTAAATGCTTATAATAGAACTCTTAAAAAATAAATAATATTTTTTAAAATTATATATTACATATTTGTTAGTTTTATTTTTAACAAAACAAAATCTGCTTTTAGTTTGTTTCGCCCAATATATTTTGTTTTTATTTCGATATTTCAACGATTTAATAGATTGAAATACTAATCACATTGATTCGGAATGTTTTATACATTTTAGATGAAATTTCTTTGATTGCATTTTGTCGCATATTAATCTGTATTTAATCAATTGAGCGCATCGGACAGATCAATGTGAACTCCGTTCTCTCTTCGCCTCTCCCATGCAATGCACTCTGACGCTCTCTGCATGCTCTCGCCCGCTCTTCCACTCTCTCTCACTCTTTATAATGCGTGCACCCACATTCGTTCAGGTTAGCTGCGACTGCTGAAGCCACTTGCCGCTTCAGTTCGATTTTAACGTTCGTGAGCGTCGGTTGTGCGAGCTGAAAGCTGCGCGCGCGTCTTCTATAAAATTCTCTCAGGTCTGTGAGTCAAGCAACAACTGTTGGTAACAAAAGCGTAGCTGCTCACGTAAGCCTGTTTACATGTGTGTGTGAGTGCATATGTGTGTATTTATCAGTATGTGTGTGAGTGTTAATAAAGCCAAAAGCCACATTCTGTATATTGCGTGTGCGTGCAATTGCGTTGGTATTGGTGCAACCATAACGCTGTTGCTGCGTTTTGACGTTTGACTGGCTCTGGCTGTAGCTACGGCTCTCTACCTGTGGCCTGGCTTAAAACTGAAAACGGTCATTTCATTACGTTTACGTTTTTCTTTGCATTTTCGTTAGCCGAGTTTGTTGTTTTTTCGGGGCGTTGGCGCGTACACAAAGAAAGTTAATAATTTTTGTGTCTCGTCGCTGGGAATTAATCATTTACAAATGGTTTAATCGAATTGAGTGCAAATGTTATTGTTGGGACACACAGTGAAGGGCTAAGATTAGATACTGCAAAAGGCCAAAAAGAACAGAAAAGTTGCGACGTTGCCGTCGACTCGGGCAGCGACGTCATCATTTGGAGCATAACTGTGAAACAAGTGAGATTAAAGTAGCGGTGTCAATAACAGCAACAACAACAACACTGCCACAACAGCTCAGTGGGCCAACACTACACACACACGTACACTCACACCGACAGATACTCGCACACAGACAACGACACCTGCAAACGCTTCACTTTCAACATTATCGTTGCGTTTTATTGTTTCTGTTTGCTTTGTGATTGCGAAAATAAAAACTAACCAAGTGCCTGGGCACTAAATGTGATTCACCAACAACAACAATAACAACAGACACACAATAACGTGTAACTTGATATAAAATTCCCGCAAGCAAAAAACTAATTTTTTTTACCGTTGGCAAACATATTTCAAGAGGGACGACAGCCGTTATTTTGTGCAGGCGTTTGCATTTCCGCACTTTTCAACAAGAATAAGCAAAAGAATACTAGAAGAAGAAGAAGAAGAAGCAGCGGCAGCAAAGAAGAGGACTTCAACACGTCGAGGTTAACAGCGTAACCTGAGTCAGTGGCGCTGGCAGGTTAATGCACTTTTATATTTTGCATGCAGCAACAACAGCAACAGCGACTTGTGTGTGTATGTGTGTATGTGTGAGTGTGTAAGTGCTTGTGAGTCCTTGTGCCAGTTAACGTTGACGTTGACGTTGACGCTCACGTCGAAGTCGGCGGCGACTTCGCGTCGCGGCTTTTGCAATCTAATGCCAAAAGTGCAGCTCAACTTTGTTTATATATTGCTTGTTGTTGTTGTTTGTGTTTGAGTTCAGCACGTGAAATTGCAATCAGAACGCAGGTGTGCGCAATCGCGCTGAATTTGAGCTGTATCAAGTTAGCCACTAACCGGATATAACAATTAGTAATCAATGTGAGGGTGTGTGTGTGTGTGTAAGCATGTGAATATTTAAAGGAATCCTAGGTGGAATACATAATTTTATAGTTGCTGCATATTAGGAATTTGATATATCGATTAGCCAACTCAACTCAAATTTTAAAATCAATTTTGATTGTTCCGCGATTTTGTAATAACTTGACTCAGCAAATGAATTTATAAGGAATAAAATATTTTTAATATTTACTTTGATTTTAGAATTAGTTTTTAAGTTTTTTATGATATATGATTTTTCGAAATTTTTTTTATTTATTTTTTTCCGGTTTCTAAGTTCTCTCAATAAATTGACTTTGAATTATCAGCAAACTTTTTATCTAATTGTTAGCAATTAAAACAAAAATTTATAGAACGACTTTTAAAAAAAAATTACTTTTATTTTATTTAATTATTACTCCACAAGGGAGCTATTCTTATTATTTTGCTTAAATAGTTTAATAAAATTATTAAACTAAAGTGAAATTTTTTTAATGTTTTAATTTTAATTTTTTAATTTTTTTTAAATATAATTTAGAATTAAATTAAATAAAATTAATAATAATATATAAAAATAATTATAATATATTAAAATAGAATATTATAAAAATAATAGTAATTTACTAGAGATGTTACAAGAGAATTCATCATATTTTGATGCTCTGCTTTCAGTTATATAGATCAGAGATATGTTGCTTAAAAACTTTAAGTACTTGATGCGAACTTCAATTAGAATAGATAAATTCAGAGTAAAAATTTTGAGAAAATGTTTTCTATTCTATTCCAGTTACAGACTCGAACTTAGCGCATCGAAAACCTTCTTTATCATATTAGGCTTTATGGAACAACTATGTGTAATCTTCCTAAATTCCTAATACAGCTCTAGCTTGATCCCACATACGATTCAAATGCTGCTGAACTTGTTCTGAATCCGTCAACTTTAACCCATTTCGGGCAATGTCATGACCTCTTTCCAACACACAATTAACCAATTAGCTGCGAAGACATTTGATGCTCCAGCAAAACGAAGCAGTCAATCGCCATTGCAATCGCACTGCCTCCATCGAAGCAGTAGTGCCAACAGTTGACTCCAATTCGGAATAAAAGACAAAGTCACAAACGTCGCATTTTATGCTGTAACTTTTCATTTATTTTTAGCGCATATTTTTTTTTCTTTGCAAACGGGTTTCTCGGTCGCTCGGCCTCTCTTACTTCTAACGAACGCCTCTAACGCGCAACTAAACCACATAACATCTACCAACATATATGCTTATATATATATATGTATATATAACACAGATAACGTAATTTGAAAACCCGTTTGGTCACTCTTACTCGGCCCGAGATTTGTTTATTAATGTTTAAGCAAAAAAAGTATTAATTAAATGTTTGTTGTAAAGTTTTTTCTTCGAATTCTGTTTCTTACAAAAAACTGAGTGCCTAAACAGAGTTTGATATAAGTATATTCCTAAAAATATTTCAAAAATTCAGCATCATAAATAATTAAAATTTGAATTGAATCTTTTTTTAAATTAACTATTTATATTTATATATTTTTATTTATAAAAATTCTAGCTTTTCTTGAAATATTTTATCATTCTTCTTGCAGCTTAACATGGCACAGAAGTTTAAGTATCGCGACAAATTGAAGGGTCTATCGATCATCGTTCTATCTATCGTTCTTCTTGCATTACTCCCACAATCCATTGACGCACAAACTCGAGATCCGCGATTTTATTCGCGCGTCGGTGTCGACTATCAATGGCCGAATCCCGGCGATCCGGATTACAGGTGAGCCCAAGCATATTCAATTACCCAAATACAGTTCTCTTAAGATTCAATACTTTCAGAACCTACACATTCAACGATCGTCGCTACGGGCACTATCAGCCAAATGGATATGGCGCTAATTATCCAGGCAGAAATCCACCTGGTCAATATCCCCAGGGTATGCCGAACGAGGATCGTTTTCGATTTGATCCGGTGAGTGCAGTTATACTCGTTCGCGTAGTGTAGTGGGTATATTAGTTTTTTACAAGGTAATCAACGGCGTCGTAGCTGATCTACATGTAGACTTTGTGCTGTGAATGGGTCGACCAAAGTTTCTTGAGATCCTCACTGATTTGTTGGTTAAGTATTTTATATTAATCGCTTGCTCTGTCCATCTAAGAAATCATCTAAGAAACACTACGCTTTAGACCTTGGTATGAATTGAGTTTACATTCAGATCCTCGCATGGCAAATCTCAAGTTTCTTTCTGATTATGTGCTGATCCTCCTCGATCACTCAGACTTGAGGTAGGTCCTCTATTCAGCATAGAGGCTTCTGCAGCAGGCGCAGATCAAGTTCTGAGAACTGATACTTACACTCGTATAGCCCTAAGTTGGGCATACAGTTTACGATATATTCCAATTAAAGAGTTTCATTTTAAGACTCTAGTAGACTCTAGCCGTTGCCATTGGCTTGTGATTCAACTTGTTCGCACCTATTTATCAATTGACTGCGAGTCTGATCAATTGAATTCGCGACACAAGAGTTGACCCCAAAACATCGGACTGAGAAACGATTAATGAACGCAACAGCCGCGAACAATGCGCTGCCATTGAGCAGCAGCTTCGAGTGATCCACGGACAGTTGAGTAATATCGAGGCAATAATCTTAATTAAGTTTTCATGCGTTGTGCGACTTAATCAATTACACATGTTTCCCAGCCGCCCGCAACTGTGAACTGTGTACAACAACGACTCTAATCTAAACCTGTTAAAACTCTATTTACAGAACGATCCCAATGCTAGGACACAGTTTCCGGGCGTCTTGGCCGGTTGGCGTGAGGATTTGCAGGGGAAGCAGCGACGCGACTCGTTGACTCTGGAACGGGATGTCTTTGTCACGACGAACTATGGCCAGGTGCAAGGCTTTAAGGTCTACATGTACGACAATCCCGATCCCAAGTCATTCTATAGGCCATATCATTCCACTGTGGATCGCGTAATGGGCGAATGCTCCGTGTTCTTGGGCATTCCCTACGCCCTGCCGCCCACATTCGAGGGGCGCTTTAAGCCGCCACGCCTACATCGCGGCTGGCAGCTGCTGCAGGCGGTGGACTTCGGACCCGCCTGTCCACAGCCGGTGCGTTACACAGGTGCGACCAAAGGTGTCATGGACATGGATGAGGATTGCCTCTATCTGAATGTATATTCGCCCAAGGTAAGTTTACGATTTATGAAAATACTTTCAACCAATAAATAAACTGTGAAATTCTCTTTTACAGACTGGCGCTGGCGTTGCCCAGAAGTATCCGGTCATGGTCTATATACATGGCGGGGAGTTCGTGCGCGGCGCTTCAAATCTGTTCCAGGGTCATGTGCTGGCCTCCTTCTACGATGTGGTCGTGGTCACGTTGAACTATCGGCTGGGCGCATTGGGCTTCCTCTCCACAGCAGATGAGAACTCGCCGGGCAACTATGGCATCTTGGATCAGGCAATGGCACTCAAGTGGGTGCACGATAACATTGAGTTCTTCAATGGGGATCGCGAGTCGATCACGCTGTTTGGACCCGGAGCTGGGGCCGCCTCTGCAGGACTCCTGATGGTGGCACCACAAACACGCAACATAGTGAAGCGCGTGATTGCCCAATCGGGCTCAGCGTTGGCCGACTGGGCGCTCATCCAAGATAAGTACAGGGCACAGAATACCAGTCGTGTGCTGGGCCAAGTGCTGGGCTGCTCTATAGATTCGTCCTGGAAACTGGTCAACTGCCTACGCACTGGACGCAGCTTCTACGAGCTGGGAAATGCCGAGTTCTCGCCCCAAGTCGGAAGCTTCCCCTGGGGTCCGGTGCTGGATCATAATTTCACGTTGCCTGGCGACGATTGGTACGAGGGCTGGCGGGAGAAGGATTGGCGTTTTCTTACCCAGACACCCGAGACTCTGATTCGCGCTGGCCGTTTCAATCGCAACATTCAGTATATGACGGGTGTTACCACGCAGGAAGCGGCGTTCTTTGTGGCCCAGAACGAATCTCTGGCGCCCTATTACGAGCTAGACGGTCGCTTCTTTGAGCAGAAGTTGAGGGAGCACGTCTTCCGCTACAACTACACTCTCAATCCGAATGGCGTGTATGAGGCCATCAAATACATGTACACCTACTGGCCGGATCCCAACAATAACACCATCATACGTGATCAATACATCAATATGCTGAGCGATCTCTACTATCGGGCGCCCGTCGATCAAATGGTTAAGCTGCTCTTAGCGCAAAAGATTCCCGTCTATATGTATGTGCTGAACACCACCGTGGAGGCCCTCAACTTGCCCCAATGGCGCAAATATCCACACGACACCGAGCACTACTTCTTGACGGGTGCCCCCTTCTTGGACACGGAGTTCTTTCCCAAGAAGGACCACCTGCAGCGCAACATGTGGACTGACAATGATCGCAATATGAGTCACTTCTTCATGCAGACCTATTCGAACTTTGCGAGATATGGGTAAGTGAGAGCCCGAGGTTAGCTTAAGGTTATGCTAACTGAGCATTTCTTTGCTCACAACTTATCGATCATTTAATAAGTATGGCTTAAAACGTAACTTCGACCTTGAATCGAACATGAATAGTGTAGCAGACGATGAGCTAGCCGTAAGGTTCGTAAGGTACAAAGGCTGTAGGCTCAACATTTTAGTTCTTTAATCATAATCCGGTTTATCGATAATAATCGATCAGTTTATTTGGTTTTTATGTTTGGCTTTAACTCATTATACTTTGGATTTTGAATAACTTCGACCTTAAATCGAACATGAATAGTGTAGCAGACGATGAGCTAGCCGTAAGGTTCGTAAGGTACAAAGGCTGTAGGCTCAACATTTTAGTTATTTAATCATAATCCTGCTTATCGATAATAATCGATCAGTTTATTTGGTTTTTATGTTTGGCTTTAACTCATTATACTTTGGATTTTGAATAACTTCGACCTTAAATCGAACATGAATAGTGTAGCAGACGATGAGCTAGCCGTAAGGTTCGTAAGGTACAAAGGTTGTAGGCTCAACATTTTAGTTCTTTAATCATAATCCTGCTTATCGATAATAATCGATCAGTTTATTTGGTTTTTATATTTGGCTTTAACTCATTATACTTTGGGTTTTTAATAACTCTGCCACCGTCCCGCCGTATTTCAAATAGTAGGGTATTTGGGGTATCTTCTAGTCGAGCATGACATATACTAACTTAAGCCAGTTCATAAAACTATCGTATAATTGAAATATCGTAACGTTTCTCTTTAACTAACTATGCTCCATTCACGTTTACAGCAATCCGACGCCGCAGCAAGTGCTCGGAATGCACTTTCAACAGGCATATCAGGGGGAGATTCGTTACCTAAACATCAATACCACATACAACTCCTCGATCTTGCTGAACTATCGGCAAACCGAGTGCGCCTTCTGGACGCAGTATTTGCCAACCGTAATTGGCGTTCTGGTGCCCACATATCCGCCCACGACGGAATACTGGTGGGAGCCAAAGGAGCCCTTGCAAATCGCCTTCTGGAGCATGTCGGTTGCCTGCTTCTTCCTCATCGTGCTGGTCGTCATCTGCTGCATTATGTGGCGCAACGCCAAGCGGTAAGTCGAGTGGGCTAAGTCGTCTGCATAATCGCAAACTAAATTCAAATTTTCAAATGAAAGGCAATCGGATCGCTTCTATGACGAGGACGTCTTCATCAATGGCGATGGCATGGAGCCAGAGCCGGATCCACGAGGCGTGGACAATTCGCATATGGTGACCAATCACCATGCATTGCGCTCGCGAGACAACATTTACGAATATCGAGACTCTCCATCGACCAAAACACTAGCCAGCAAAGCACAGACGGATACCACGTCCTTGCGTTCACCCAGCTCGCTGGCCATGACCCAGAAGTCAGGCAGCCAAGCTTCGCTCAAGTCGGGCATTTCGCTCAAGGAGACTAATGGCAGCCTGGTCAAGTCGGAGCGCGCAGCTACGCCGCGCTCGCAGACTAATGGATCTGCAGCCAAAGCGGCGCCTGTCGAGGAGAAGCGTCTGCTGCAGCCCATGTCCAGCACGCCAGTGGCGCAGCTGCAAGCGGAGCCAATGAAGCGAACGCCGGCAGCTCCAGCCAGCGTGATTAGCAGCAGCAGTCGCAGCACCACGCCAGTGCCCTCGGCACGCACCACAACGACGACGGCGACGCTGACAGCGCAGCCGGCAGCACAGCCACGACGCACGCAGCTAGTGGAGGGCGTGCCACAAACATCCGTCTAAGTAACCGCTCTCTAAGCGCGCGATGCACTTAGAGAGAATACGCAAAGCCTTTGAATGAACAATCTAACCACTTAGCAAATTCGACATTGGGGTAAGAGCTCAAATACCACTTGAATCGAGACACCTTTTAAAAGATTCTCTTCAACAGCTCCGTCTAGCTGGATAACACCTGTATTAAACGTTGACATAGCTAGATTTTAGGTTTTGTTTTATATCTAGTTTTATATTATTTATAAATTTATTTTTACACAGATCTAAAAGATCTCGGAAGCTATTTTAACGCAATTTTGTATTTTCCTTTTATATTTCTTCGTCTTAATTTTTTGTATATTTTTTAAGTTTGATAACCCAACGAATACGAATCCATATCAATGACATTCCATAGAATAGTCTTGGCCTATAGCTAGGGAGGCGAGATCATCAAGTGTACATAATATCTATGTAAAGTGTAATCAAGAACAACTAATTTAAGATGTTAATGATAAGCTTCATTCACATTTGCCTGCTAAGGATCAAATGAAAGATCTGTAATAGAAAACTGTTTGAACCAACATTTCGAGCATATTAAGAAAGTAATAAACGGAAGCACATTCAATGCATTCTTCTACAAGTTCTTCGCTAAGATTTTCCACCTAACATATCTGCGTACAGAACCCATATAACACTCGCACTTGTAATCCATCGACCATACATAATTACCATATCATTCGCAGATCTAGAGCACAAGTGCCTTATCCAAATTGGATACAGTCTAGTATTAAGTGTGTGTACTCATATACAATTTAAGTGCCTTAAATTTGATAGTTATATATTTTATATATAGATATATGTCTTATGCGTCACATATATAGAATCAACGACCATACAAATCAGTGTAAACCGTCCAATATTTTTTATGTTTTCATGTGAAGCGTGTAATTGTTATACAAATACTTAGAATACGTGATCTATTTATTGCTTACATGTGCGAAAACATAAGAAAATACCATTTACATTTATATTTACATTTACAGTTAGCATTATAATTGTGTAGTTTATTTAATTGTATGTAGTGTGTCCAATTCATTCATTTAAATAAATATATATTATTTCTCTTTTGTGAACGTTCTGCATAATGTGCTTTGTCCTGTTTCAACTTGTTCCATTCAAAATATCTATGAAATATTTCAACAAGACATAACTTTTCCATAATATATTATATATTATTAACTTTTCATACGATGCAAAAGTAAGTAAGAACTAATCTATAGATACAGCGAGGCGGCAAAGACAATGTCGCGCTTAAGCAATCGAATGCCTTCGGAGAACTTGTTCTCCAGATCTGTGTTGCCGATCGTTTTGGATGCCTGGCACAGTTGACGCAGCAGCTCTTCCAGGCGTCGCATGCAGCGAATTATGGAGCCCTCAAAGATGTCCGTCATTTTGCAGACATTCAAAAAAGTGGAGCCCTTGCACCAAGCCAGCACAACGTCCATTAGGAAGGGCTTGAATTTCTCCACATAGTTGTCTTCATCCAGATTCAGTTTGCATTCGGTGGACACCTTGGCAATGCGACGCGCCAAACTTTGCAAGGAGCGCAACGGGCCGGATAGCTCGGTGGCGCTCTTCGGCGACTCAGCAGACTTCTCGTCGCATACGAAGCAGGAGAGAAGCGCCACAGCTTGCGGAGCAGAGAGCTCGTTGAACACGCCATTGAATATCATTTCGGTGATGAGCAACTCATCCGCGGAGCTCAGCTCGCAGGCAACGCGACCTTTAAATTCGATGACATCGCCTGGCTTGCAGTAACCCATGCGCCGAAGCACGCGTTTTCGGAACTTCAGCTCGTCCATCTGCAGCAGGCTGCGCGCAGCCTTCAACTCCGCCTTCAGGCTGTTCACCTCGGTTTGTAGCTTCAGCTTATCGAGATAGCGCTTATGAATGCGCTCTAGTTCCGGCGACTTATGCAACGGATGCTCTTCGAGCAATTGCTCGAACTGTGCAATTGTGTCCACAATCTTGCGAAATTCACTGTCCTTGATATTCATGTCGTCGATGGGATGAAGCACAGGTGGACCAAGTGGAAATCGTTTCTTCGCCTCCTGAATGGTCTTCAGGACGGCTCGGCGATTGTCAGCCGTGCGCAGATCGTTGGGAAAGTAGACGCGTATGGAGCTGATTTGGGTGATCAGCGTATTGGCTACGGGCACTACCTCCATGCAGCCACGTTCGTTGGGCGGACAGGGTTCGGTCTCACCTGTCTTGGCCGCATCCTCGCTAACATGCAGAAGTACATCGATGACAACGCCCGGTTCGCCCTTCAATGGATTCTTGCGACTCTGCTCCTGTTTTTTAAAGTTCAATACGATGCCCCAGTCGTACTCCTGCTTGCCAGCGGACACTTTCACTAGCCGACCTGGCTGCAAAAAAGGCACCAGATACTGTGGCTTGGTTAGCCATTCGCGGAACTTGCTGCCATTGATATCGAGCTGATCGCGAATGTGGTGATAGGACGCAATATTGTGCTCATCCTTGATGGTTAGCTTATTCAGCTGCTGTGTCTTCTGCTGCACCTGATCGTGAAGACCGGGCAGTGCGGCCTGATTTTGAAACTGATAGAAGCTGCGCTCCAGCATATACTCTGGGTTGATTTCCTCCACCCGCAGCAGATTCAATACCATGTTGTAGGTGAGATGGAACGCAGAGTTGAGAGTGTCTGCCTTGCCCTGTACAATCTCACGGCCCACCACTGGGGACACCTTCTCATCAATCATCAGTATAACAATGCCCTTGTCGTCCAGACCTCGACGGCCAGCACGTCCAGCCATTTGGATATACTCGCCCGAGCTGATCCAACGGAAGTCCTTACCATCGAATTTACGGGGCGCTGTGAACAGAACTGTGCGCGCAGGCATGTTTAGACCCATGGCAAAGGTCTCTGTGGCGAAGAGCGCCTTGATCAGACCTTCGCCAAACAGAATCTCAATGGTCTCCTTGAGAATGGGCAGCAGTCCGCCATGATGTATGCCAATACCACGTCGCAGTAAGGGCAACACATTCTCCACCTGTGGCAAGCGACGATCCTCCTCTGTGAGAACATCCATGGCATTGTGAAAGACCTCATCCACCAGCTTCTTCTCATCGACAGTATTAAAGTCTAGTTTGGCCATTTGCATGGCATATACCTCGCATTCCTTCTTACTAAACGAGAAAATGATGACGGGCGCAAAGTGACGCTCCATTATCATCTTGACAATTTTGAATATATTTGTTTGGCCTGAGTTGTGACCCTTGACGCCACCCTTGCGACCTTTCTGATCGCCCTTAGCTGCCTCACCTGCAAGACAAGATCTGAATAAATATCCCAAGACATTCACAAATCCATTTATTCGTACCTGCGTTGGCCAACACCGCCATGGCCGTAGTGAAGTTATCCTCCTTAAACTGGCCCTTCTCGTCGACAATTAGGTGGATACCATCGCCTCCGGCTGGAAAAATATAATGCTGCAACGGCGTGGGTCTGTAATCCGTGTAGACCACGTGACAAGGTTGTTTGTGCAGATGGCAAACCCATTCGGCAAATTGTCGGGCATTGGGTATGGTGGCCGAAAGAAAGACATAGCGCACATTGTCAGGTAATAGAATAAGTGTCTCCTCCCACACTACTCCACGCTCCTTATCACGCATATAATGAATCTCATCGAATATCACCCAGCCCACCTCGCGCATTATTTCGCTGCCACGGTACAGCATGTTACGCAGAATTTCCGTTGTCATGATCAAACAGGAGGCTGAGGGATTGATGGTAACATCTCCCGTGACCAGACCCACATCCTGAAACTCATCTGTGAACTCGCGAAACTTTTGATTGGATAGCGCCTTAATGGGCGTGGTGTAAATAACGCGCTGTTTAGCTGCCAGCGACTTTGCAATGGCATACTCCGCCACCACAGTCTTGCCCGCCGATGTGTGTGCCGATACCAGGACACTCTGCGAGTTATCAATACAGAGAATCGCCTGCTTCTGGAATGGATCCAGCACGAATGGATATTCTTTGGCAGGTACGCCCGTAAATGGCTGTAGAGGAATGTACTCCTGATCGGGATGGGCGGCTACCTCATGCGTGCAGGACTCTGGCGACACCAGCTGATGGGTGACAATACGCACGCGCAGCGCCTCCAATGCACAATCGTCCAGCTCTTCTTCTTTATCCTCTATTTCATAATTGACTTCATTATCCGATTCATTGTCAGGAATTTCCTCTGTCTCTGTGTTTATGTCAACACGCTGCCGCTTGGCAGACTCTTTTTTATCAGCATTTTCTTCTGTATGTTCCTTGGTGCTGACATCTGCATCCGTTCCAGTTGATTCACGTATGTTCGCTTTTCTCGTTTTATTGACGCCAGCAGAAGAATTTTTCTCGGCCTGGTTTACTTTTGCTTTTTTTGTGGGTATTGGCAACGGTAACTGCAAGCTTTCATTCGGCGCTTCGTTAAAACAATCAAATAACTCATTTATATCCATATTATCTATCTATTTTTTAAATGTTACGTCCTTATTTCAGCAATTTATTCACACCGCGTTGAAAAACATGTGTTTTAGCGAACTTCTCATTTTTATGTTAATTTAACAGAATATTACAATTACTGCCTACAGTGATACTCATGTAGTACTCATTTGGCACTGTTATATAATTTATGTATAAATATAACATCTCAACAAATGGAGTCCCCTCAAACATAAAATAAGGTAGGTTTTATATTTGAGTGGTCGAATAATACATACATCTTCTTTATATATATTTTACAATCCGAAATATTTTCTATGCAATTATTAAAAAAGTATGTGTATAATACTAATTTTTAAAAATATGCAAACAAAAAAAACAATGATTTAAATAGAGTTAACATCAACTTTCTTATCGATTGTTGCCGAAATCAAATTAATGTAGGGAATGCCTACATGGCTGGCGTACAAACAATCGATAATACATAAAGAAAACTAATCGATTAAATGCTAATGGATTGGTAACAGAAGCGGCGACACAGAAAGGAAAAACAATAAATATATTTTAAGTTGTACATTGTACATTGTGCTAGTTAAAAATGGAAAATGATGAAGTAAAGCGTGGCCGTGGCCGTGGACGCGGCTCACGAGCACGGGGTCGAGGACGTGGTCGCGGCCGGGGACGCGGTAAAAAAATTGATGACACAGGCACTACATTAGAAACATACGAAAGTGTCGTTGGCGTTGGTGCTGGCGTTGTTGTTGCCGCAGTATCGGGAAACGGAACCGTTGAGGATAGTCCCAGCAGTATGGAGCATACAGAAGATGCTGTGATGCAAGATCTAGATAAAGAAAACGAAATGGACGTAACAACAGCATCAACCGAAGAGCAGGCAACACCCATTGCAGATAGAACGCCGCCGCCTCAGCAACAACAGGTAGCGCCGCCTGTGCTGCCACAGACAAGTAAGTATTTTGTTGTTATTGATTAACATTGGAAATGCAACTAATTTATGCTTGTTATAGTTGACATGGAAGCGGATATATCACAGTTGGAAGCGCCAACATTTACGACCTTGTCGCGTGGACCACCGGAGCCTATGCTGCGACTGAAATGGAACCACAAAGTGAGCCTCATTGGCGAGAAGGTGCTCAATCCGATGATACATTGCTGCGACCAGTGCGACAAACCCATACTTGTGTATGGCCGCATGATACCTTGCAAGCATGTCTTTTGCCTCAAATGTGCCCGAGCTGAGCCCATAAAGAGTTGTCCACGCTGCAGCGACAAGGTGCTGCGAGTGGAGCAATCCGGCTTGGGGACAGTCTTTATGTGCACACATGGCGGCAGTCGGTATGGCAGCACCGGTTGTCGACGCACATATTTGTCCCAGCGCGATCTGCAGGCGCACATCAATCACCGACACGTTGCACCACAGCCGCCTTTGACAGCGTCGACGGGCGTTGAGCCAAAGCTGACGGAGATGAGCGGCCTGGAGTTGCATAAGCAGCGCAAGGCGAGTAGTTGCTATGGCTCCTAACTATGCTACTCTCTGTCTAATGCTTGCCCTTGCAGCTATCCGAACCAACTACCGCCTCCGTCCCTTCCTCCTCCGTTGCTGCTGCCTCTGCCGCTGCCCATATGCAGCAACGTTCAACGGCACGCGTCGCCATAGGATCTATCCCTCCACCGGGATCGTCCGAACGAGCAGCCGGACACACGCACTCAACGCTCACACTGGCGAATCTGGCACGCATTAACAATGCGAACGCCCAGGACTGTCATCAGGGCAAAGCATCGCTGCACCAGACCCTCAAGAAGGGCACACATCAGTCTGAGTCTGTAGCAGACGCCTCCTATTACAGCAGCGTGCTCGCCTCCTTTGGCAGTGCAGGTGTTGCTGCTGGCCCAACTGTGGCGGCTAGTACGGCAGCTATTTCGAATTGTGCAGCTAACAGTGGCAGTGCATCTGGTGGTGGAGCAACTGCAGGCACCGGCAATGGCAACAGCATGAGTCTAGGCAATGCCGCCCAGCTAAGCAGCAGCTACGACATCGGCAATGCAACAGGCAGCACGAACAGCAGCAGCAACTGGCAGCAGCAAGCGCAATATTACAGATAGAGATTTAATGGACAGAATCTATACTTTTATATGAAATACATTTAATTATTGTACAAATAAACAGTTGTATGTGGAAAGCGACCTGTTTTTCAAATACTCTCATCGAGTAAATTAGGATTTACATTTTTCAGTCAACCGTTTTATTTTGTTACAATCGAATTTTCCATTGAAACTTTGGGCACAACTATTAAGTTGAATCGTGGCCAGAACGATTTTTGAGAAAAAAATGTTCCGCAGAATTTGTTTAAATTGTACTATGCTATATTATGTTTAGATTTTAATATTTTCAAAATTTTGCATTAAATTATTTTTGCTCCAATTTTGTCGCAGCATACTAGGCACGAGCGCAGATTTCAAACTGATTCGATACCAAAAATTGTTATCGGTATCGGTGTATTGTGGCATAACGATAGGTTTAGCCGTCAGCTGCAAAGAGTAAAAAATGTCTGTAAACAATTTAAATTTGAATACAGAGAGAACAAACTAATTAACATAAGTACAAAGATGTAATAAATAGCTGAAAATGCCAACTTTGACACTTAGTCACGCATAAATAAACAGCCAAATTATATTGGTCAAGTCACTAAGTCACTTTAAAAATTGCAGTCAGCGGTGAAAGTTGCGTAGCTAAGAAAAAATGCAAAAAATATTGTTAATTAGTGGAAAACGGAAATGCGGCAAGGATTTCATTTCAGAGAGATTGCTAAATCGGTGAGTATATACTCAACAAGACACAGCACTTGAATAGTAGATATTTTTTAAACAGCTTGGCAGATCGTGCTCTGATCGTTCGAATCTCGGAACCTATTAAGCAGGAATGGGCGAATAAGCTGCAGCTGGATATTCATGCTATGCTCAGTGATGGCCCCTATAAGGAGCAATATAGGCGTGACATGATCGTATGGAGCGATGAAGTGCGTCGCTACGATTACGGTTTCTTTTGCCGTGCGGCCATGAAGCAGGCTTCGGTGGATCAAGTGGACTATGTGATTGTCAGCGATATACGCCGTAAGAATGATATACGCTGGTTCCGCGAGACTTACGGTCCTCAAATGGTACAAACACTACGCTTGACTTCGCTGCCAGAGACCCGCAAAGCGAGAGGCTGGCAATTTACTGCAGGCGTGGATGATGGGCCATCTGAATGTGACTTGGACGACAGCTCCTTTGATTATGTCCTGGCGAATGATAAAGACGAACAAAGTGGAGAACAGCTCATTGATCGACTAATGGCTATGCTACAGATTAGCTAATTTAAGTGGCCTTCTAATATGCATATAATTATTTTTGATATCAATCTCTTTTTTAAACAAAGAGAGCTATTTTACACGAAACACACGAGCTGAATTTGTTGCAAATCATCGATAAGTTATTTTAATATCGATTGAAACAAAAATCGCTATTAAACTTATTTGAACTTTTTGAATATATTTGAACATTTTTGTTATTGGTGGGTTGTTTAAATGTTGACTGCTATAGGAAAATGTTAAAAACTAAAGGCAAGTTGTGTTATAATTAATAGAAATTTAGCCCTCGAGTATGTGCATACTCAAATTTGATTGATGATCATCGAAGCTCTGAAGTTGCGGCTTACGTAAATCCTTCTCAACTGAACGAGAACGCAAGTGCATTCGATTCTTGTTGACACAGCTGAGTGGCGTTCGTTGACCACGCTGTTGACAGTCGGGCGTGCTTTTGGGTGTACTTGTCACGCCCTCGGCAGCATCCACATAAATCTGTGACTTGTTTGCGCGTGCAGGCTTTCGTGGTGCGACGCGTCGCTTGTTGCCAAGACGAACGCGTTCCAAATGTTTATTAGCTAGACGGGATTGCGACTGTAGCTGTGGCTCCGTCTGAGCCTGTGTCTCTCCCTGTGTTTCTGCCTGTGCATCGTCTAGCATCAGCTCTTCGGTAGCACTTACAAACGAAGCCATGCTACTCTCGTTGCTTAAATTGAGTGTCAATGTTTCCAGTATCTCTTCCAGCATTTGGGTTTCACGCGCCTCGCTCTCATCATCATCACAAAAGATAATGGGCGTACGCTCTACCCCAATAGTGGGCGACCGAGGATCTTGAGTATGTGCTGGTGTTGATTGTTGTAACAACATATCACAAGGCATCGTTTCCTCCTGCTCATATGGTAGCGAAACAATCTCCACCGAGCTATTGTTGTGACTATCTGCAGGCAAATCTTGCTGTACAACTGGAGCACGTGTCTCCACAAACAGATCAGCAAAGGTGTCGTCCATATTCAAAGTGCGATCAATAGCATCGTCGAGCATTAGAGGCGTGCGATTTAGTTGCGGCGAACGCGGATCATTTAAAGCAAAACCTTTCAACAAGCGCTTACGCAGCTGCGCAAAAGTATTTTCGTTGCCTGCTTGTTGTATCTGACGTACTGGCTGTTCAGCTGGCAATATCTAAATGCAAAACAGCCTTAGCAAAATTATAACATAAGTAAAGTTAACTTACTTTTAGTGGTGTGCGACAGATGTTCGGCGAGCGTGGATCAAGCGACGCATTGTTTTGAAGGCAAGGGTTTATTGAAAGTTGTACTGTTGGTTGTTGAGCAGCAGTTGCAGTACCCGCAAGGCGCAATCTATTTAATGTCGGTGTGTCTGGCAAGTAGGTGCCCTCCATTTTAGTTGCTTTAGTGCCCATAGCAATAATATAATACTTAATATTCAATGTTGCGCTGTTGTATTTGAAATGAAAAATGCGGGAGACGTTGCTAGCGTCGATACATGTATATGCATGTATATCGATTATACAAATATATATCACTATATTTTTTATTTTATGCTGGTAATACTCTAATATGCCACTGTTATCGACGTTTACATTGGTGATGAGCCATCGCGTGACCGATATAATAATTTTCGATTGAACGAACAACACGGATGGATTAAAAAAAAAAAAACAAAAAGAATTGAGTGCCTTTTTAATTATTTCGAACTAAGAGAGTAACTCGAATATTAAGCAGTATTAGTTATAACAAATGTGCGCGTGTGTGCAAAGTATGTGAAAATTATTTTGTAAGCGGCGAAAGCTTAAATGGCTATTGCAAACACCAAATGTAAGTTAATGGAATTGACGAAGCACAAGCTAAAAGTAATTGTAAATAAAATGATCGGTTTTGTGTTATTTGACCGTCCGGAAAAATTATTTTGGTCATTTTTACGCAGTAGACAAAATACATTTTCGTGTTGTGTATGTGTGTGTGTGTATGTGTATGTATGTATGTAGCCCCTGCATAAGGCACCGCAAGCAGCAGTAAATTTCGTTTCGTATATACATGCACATGTATATGTCGGGTTTTTTTTCAATAGCTATCTCCTTTACACACACATCTATACATATGTACATATATGCTGCACTCACCATGATTTGCTCGTCGCGGAGACTTTCGAGACAACGCGTAAAATAAAACTAGTTTGTACGTTGCCAACTACTTGGCCTATGCAGCCACATTTTGTCTTACATTAATGTAGGTTAGTGCACGCCAGCGGGCGTCAACTTCATATATTGTAGCAATTGTTCTTTTTTTGAATTTTTTCTGCATTTTTTAGTTTTTTATTTTTATTATTTTAAAATTAAACCACTTTGTGTTTCTAGCCGGCGAGCGAAAAGTAAACAGTTTGTCGATGCAGTTGGCAACGCGTGTAGACTTTCTCTCTTGTTCCAAATATATACAAATGAATGCTCATGTATATGGATGAGCATGTGCATGTGTATGTATGCGCAGAAAACAACGAAATTTCATTCATTCCTCTTTTTCGAGTAAAAACTATACGCTACGTGTAGTAGTACGGTCTCCTTATACAATTACAATGTCAGTTGCACACACACACTGCTCGTGTTTATTTGTATATGTCTGAATGCAAGTATTCATATACTTTATTTGTAGGCAATCAACGGATCTAATCCAAATTCTGCAACAAACAAACAACAGTTTAAACAGTTTCAAGACTGCAGCTGCTGTCGGTTTTTTGGGTATAGGGTGTGTCGTCCCGGCCTCTGCGTATGTCAGGTGCAAAGACGTTGACGCGAAGGCAACGGCAAAGTAAAAGTCTCCACGCGGCAAGAAGATACTTGGATATTCCAGAATTCAACATAGACGGCGACGAGCGTCGTTTGATTGCCGTTGCCATCATTGGCCGCGTTTTTTCACACATTCCACGCGCTGTTAGATACATACTTACATACATACAAACACTTGTACGGCGACTATTGATTTCAATCAACTTTGTCGCTCGCTCTTTTTCTCTTTTCTCAGGCTCAGCCTCTCTCTCTTGTGCCCATTTGTCAATTAAGCAGCACGTCCGCTTGTCGGCTCACCAACAATTTGCCGCTGTGTGTGTGTGTACACATGTGTGTGTAAATTCCATTTCCTGTTTATAGTAGGTATGCTGCACACACACACCCGTCCGCACTAGCTCCCGTCTGCTTGGGCCCCATGTTCAGGTCGTCTCGGCTTGCCACCACCATCACACAGCGTCGGTCGTTGTCGTCTGTATATTTTTTTTCTTACTCCATAGACTGATGCCTCGTCGGTAGCAGCCGCAGCAGCAGGCAGCGACGGAGCGTCATGTACAGTACGTGCCACTTCCTCCACATTCAGAAAAATAAAAATTTTTCACACACACGCATGTACACAGTATGTATATACACATACATACACACAGAATGAGACGGGCGGGCCAAAACGACTGACAAACAGACGGACAATCCAACGGGGAGCGTTCATTTGGCGTCTGCGCCGTGTGTTTCGTTTGTAGTTGTTTGTGTTGTTTTTGTACAGTTGCAAAGACACAAATACAGGCGAGAGTGTGCGGACGAAAACGAGTTGACTGTCTCGAAAGATGTGGCAACGCCGGCATCTTCCCGGTTCCCCTTTGCTTATTAGAAAGAAGAAAAATGCCGCTGCGCGTTGTGTTGCTGTCTTTACGTAAGAAGGCCGTCGAACTCTACACTGAGTGAGCGGCATGCAAATAATGCGAGAGAATCGCGAATGTGTGTGAATGCCTGTGCTATACTATATGTGTTCGTCTAATGATTACCGTTACAATTTGCATTGGCTGTCTAGTCTGACAACCGTCTCGCGACCCAGACTAGACGACCCAGCCCCAATCTCAAATTGGCAACTTTTTTTTCACATGACCTTTTACTGTCATCGTTAAATGACGCTGAGCTTGAATGCTTGAGATTGTGTATGCGTGTGCGTGGCGCTTAAAAAGCTTGCAGTTTAATTTGTATTGATTATTTAGTAGTAGTCAGTTCGAATTGCTCTTTCTACTGCTTTGTTTTGAATGAGTTCGGTTAGCTCAGGGTCAATGTCCTACGAACACACAAGTGCAACTAGAAGATAGAATGCAAATCTTACATAAAAACTAAGTAGGGATCAATTAGATGCTAAATGAAAGGAAAGGAAAAATATTAAATAATGTATTTCTGTTTTCATCTTCTATTACCTGAGCGATAATTTTGTCGTAAAATATTTTTCAATGTTCAGATGTAAACTTTGTTATTTGCAAGCAATATTTGTGACAATCTGGCAACTCTACCATCCTTGGCGCGCGCGTAAAAAGCCTCGTTTTTATTTTTGGCGCGCACAAAATGTCAGAAAAAATAAAGAAAAGGCCAGACTCAATGCAATGCCTCGAGGAATGTTGTTTACGTGCGCGCCTGCGCATCGACCAAGATTTCCACGAATTCACCAAAACAAGCTCCCAAGTAGCAGAAAATGTTGTCGTCCAAGTCTGGACCTCATCCTGTTCGTCCCGTTTGTCTACCTGCTTTTAAACCGCCGCGCTGCGTCGCTTCTTGTTTGTGTGCAATTTAGCTCCTCCAAACTTGGCGGTGGCGGCATGTCAACATGTTGATCCTACTATAGCGTGCGAAACGTTCTGGCAACACCAAAACAAAAACAACATTCCCCAAGCCATTCGTTGTTGTTATTTATGCTATTTGGAAGTGTATGTGTGCGGGCCCCTAATGCTGAAATATACTCACATGCATACTTATACATATCTGAAGAGAAAGAGGAAAACGGCGTTGGCGTCTACTTCGTTCTCTCAATCAGTCTGGCCACGCTCTGCTCTTGCTCTTTGCTTTTTTTCGTTAGCTACGTTTTGTGCAGTTGTCTTTCACAGCGTTTGCGATGCGGTCGTGTTTTCTGAGTGACTGCTACTACTGCTGCTGCTGCTATTGGCTGCGTCGGCATCGGCTTCATGCCAAGTGATTTTGTGTTTAATATAAATTATTTTTGGTAACCAATGGAAATAAAAAATCTTTAAAATTTAGTGAACGACAGTGATACGTTGATTATAAAGGATTTTAAGAACTTATATGGCTTTTATGATGTTTGTGTTTTTCGTCGTTATTTTGTGCATCATTCATGAAAATTGTAGTTTATGGGCAAATCAAATACAAAAAACTGAGTTTTAAATTAAAGAACTATTCAAAAAAAAAAATGACAATATATATTTGTCATAACCTCTACTCTTTCTGCATTTGCCCGCGCCCCGTTTGCTTGAGCGAAATTCTTAGAATTCTTAACATTCCCGCGCGCATACACATTTAAATATATATATATATATATAAAATATAAAATATATATGTGTATATATATATATATATATATATATATATATATATACAAACGAGTAGTTAAAAAGTAAAAATACATATAAACATGTATATATGAATACATACATATATAAATATATATATATATATATATATATATATATATATATATATATAAATATATATATATGTATAAATTGTACTCTCCCTACGCGTCGGCCGAAGTGTAGACATAAACACACACACAAGCGCATGCACTTGAACTCTCACGCACGCACACAAATACATACTAACACAAACATTTATACCCTATCCAACACACCTCGAAATTGGTTGTTGTCGCCACTAAGTGGAGACAATTGTTGTCTCTTTTGCACGCATTCCACTAACAAAAACTAGTAGGACTTGTTTTTTTGCGTTATTTTTACGCAAAAGCAAAAAACCGGTAAGATTTCAGAAGCGGCGGTAGCAGCAGCAAAACACAAATGTTATTGTGTGTGTACCTTAATGCATTGCGTCTGAGTTGGTGTATCTTCGCTGTGGTAGAATACCACGTTAATCATAGTTTTCACACACCGCTTTTCTTATATTTTTGTAAACATGTACACACACACACTAGCAGACAACGAGCAACGAACTCGTGCAGCAGCGACGCCCAAGAATGAAGCAGCATAAGGCAACATGAAAACTACAGCAACAACAAACAACACAGCAGCATAAAAACATAGAGAAAGCGAAAGAGAGGGGAGAGAGAAAGCAAGAGAGCAGCAGTTGTACGGCAACGACCCGAGCAGAAGCTGCCGCAACAACAGCAGTAATATTAGCGGGTGTTGTTGTTGCTGATGTTCTCTTGAACGCTGCCAATAGTCATGTATGTATGGATATACACTTTGCTGTTATTGGTGTTGTCTTGCATGTGGTTTATTTATGCTTTCTATTAGTAACATTTATTACCAATTGCTTCACCACTGGCAATGACCACGATCAACGAACTTGATTTTCTGTTTATTGGTGTCGACGTTGTTTTTAATATTATTATTTGTGATAGGCAAAAGCATAAAGAGGAACAGCAAAACGTGGTGCTGATCTTGACCTACGCGCGCGCAAGTTCAAAACGGTTATTCAACTTGTACTTTGTGCGGCTTCCTTCTAGTTCCTCTCGCATTGCAGATTTAAATTTCCAAAACGGAAATTTTAATAACGGTCGCGACGTTGTCAATCCAAAGCGTGCACACACATATACATACGTACTTTCATACTCACACACACGAAAAGAAATCTCTAAATTTGTGCTTTTAATTGCATTTTTGTTTAATGTTTTAGTATTCAATTTCTTAATGTCCGTGTATAAATTTTGAAATTGTTATCACAAAATTGGCGACTAATTGACGGGTTTTGGTGTCGGCGCCACAATTATAAATAAAAAAAAAATTATATAAATATATATGTATATAAACATAAATATTGTCAAAGCTGCCGACACGGTTGCCACCTGATTAAAAGGATTTTGTACCAGATAAACTAATAAGTGCCAATTTTATGCAAGTAAAATTATATTTTATTTATAAGAGAAAATAATTTAATACGACAACTTTACTAATTTTGCTTATATTAATGCTTATTAATTTTAAAATACATAAATATTTGCAAATTTATAGCATTTGTACCAAATGAACAGACCCATTAACGAAATAAGGTTTCAAGTTTTGTACATATTTACCACGTATGGCAACCTTGGTTTTTATGAGAGCTAGTGACGTTTATTTATTTTCATCTATATTTATGTGTGTATGTATATGAATGTAGATTTATTGTTTACTGTTAATGGCGTGCAATGATCGTGTTGTATTATCATATTTATTGTTTATTTGAAGTGTTTCTGTGGTAATTGTTGTCGCTGTCGTCGTGTGCTCATATATTATTATCGCTTAATAAATAGCGTACGCTAAATTTGTTTTCATTCAATTTTGCACAAGTTATAACGGTCGACGGCTTCATTCAGATTTGTGTAGCACAGCAAAAACGCTGCTCCCTATTATCATCATCATCGTCATCATCATTGCCAGCGCTATCAACATAACTAACTTTGGGTTTGCTTCTGTTTTATTTTATTTTTTTTTCGTTTTTATTTATATTTATTTTGCGGCGTCCAAGCAGAAGCCGGCGGTGAGACATAAAAGAAATGAGCAAAGTAACAGTAATATTTGAGCAGCAGCAGAAGCTGAGTGGTTAATATAAGGGTCGGGGGAGAGAGTCTACACACGGTGGTCAGCAAGGGAGAGGGCAAGAGCGAGGCCGAGGCCGAGACCGAGATCGAGAACACGACAGAGACAGAGAATTGTGTCATTCTTCAAAGTGGTTGTGAAATGTTCGCTTTTTCTGCCTACTCATATCACAGCCAGCTTTGAGGAGCGACACGATGCTCAGCACAAAATTCAAAACAAAAAAAAAGAAATAATTTGTTTTTAATAAAAAGTTAAGAAACCAAGAGATAAATTTTTAATTTATTATTACAGAGCTAATATTAAATAATAATGAAAAAAAAGATAATTACCAAAAAAAATAACAACAAAATTAAAACAATTAAAATAAATAAAATGTAATAATAATAATTTGCACTATTACATAAATCATTGAACAAAATTATAAATCATGTTGCCCTCCCGAGATCCCTCCAAAAATATGTTTAAAAATCCAACTTCATATATATGCATATGTGTATGTCTATTTATCTATCTGTATCAATCTCCTCTTTCTACCATAAGAATTGGCCACATTCATGCTGAGCTCTCAAAGAGGCTGTGAAATGCATTTTGAAAGCTTTGCGCGCATATCACAGCCAGCTTTGATGAGCTTAGCGTAATGTAACGTACATCAATCAATCAATCAATCAATCAATCAAATCAATGCAGTCATAATGAAGCTAGCACTAACATTACACTCGTTGATGACTGACATGGAATTGGAAGCAACTCATCAAGTAAATTGTGACCATATAAGAGCAATAGGAAAATATGTAGAAAAGAAATAACTTCCAGTTCTTCAATTCTGTTTGTTACGGTATTTTGTACACTCTTTTGAATCTTAAGCAAACAGAAGAAAATATTGTGGATGTAGCAACCAGGAATGGAGAAAACCCAGATAAGTCGATGAATTCGGCATTGGCAGAGAGTCAGTCAACCCGTCGAATTTAGGTGTTGGACATGGTGAGATTATACTTCGACCGAACACTAGCCAGAAGTGTTCGAACAGGCATCAAACCATTCAAACAGTTTGATCGGTTGACGGGCTTATGGAATGCGGAATCTTCGGACCTTTTCTCTGGGGCAACGTCAAGTCCTTACTTTACGTTAACAAGTCCACCTTTTTGGAATATTCTTAAACTGTTTTTGCGTTATTTTTGAATTTCATTCCCCATTGCTCTTATTTGGTCAACCTGTACGATTACGTGAAGCATAATTATAACCCTGCATCAAATACATTTGATGTTGCTTATCTAAGCCTCATCAAGTGGTTGTGATATGGATACCCGACGCATATCACAGCCAGCTTTGATGAGCTAGGATAATCAACGGAAAACAACAAGAAAAAGAAAACAATTGAAAATGCACAAAAAAACGAAACGAAAATTAACAAATTCGAGTGAAATGGTGTCTTCAAATATATAACATATATATAAGAATAAATATTAATTCAGATTCTATTCTATTTATCATTTACCATTTAGCCGACAATTATTTAAAAATTGAACATTTTCGTTGATGATTTTTGATTTGATTGTCTACAGTTTTCTAATGCATTTGTATCTTCTTCACAGATACGCCGATCCCCACACTCACACACACACAGATTCTGATGCATATGTAGATACAGATACTGTATACGAACAGAATTCCAAAGAGCCTTTGATGACGACGCCTCGCTGTGCATAACGATATTTGTTAAATACTTTGTGATAGTCTTGTTTATCGTTTTAATTTATTTGTTTATACGCAAAATAGTATTGTAAGATTTTAAGAGAAACCAAACAAAGTTGCAACCAAATAGAAAGAAACCTGCAAATGCATTCCACAAGCACAACAACCAGAGTATTCGACACATTGAAAATGCGCATTTTGCTGCTGCTGCTGTTATTCAGCTGTCTGGCTTTAATTGAGGCATGCTCCAGCCGCACCGTTCCGAAGCCGCGTCCATCGGTCTCTTCGTCCATGTCGGGCATTGCATTACCGCCAACACAGGCGCCGGCAACAACAACAACAATGCGAACTACCACAACGACGACAACAGCCAGGCCAAATATCACATTCCCCACATACAAGTGTCCGGAGAACTTCGATGCCTGGTACTGTCTGAACGACGCCCATTGTTTTGCCGTAAAGATAGGCGAGCTGCCCGTCTACAGCTGCGAATGCGCCATTGGCTTTATGGGTCAGCGCTGCGAGTATAAGGAAATCGATGGCTCCTATCTGCCCAAACGTCCGCGTCCCATGCTTGAGAAGGCGAGCATCGCCAGCGGTGCAATGTGCGCACTCGTCCTAATGCTGTTCGTCTGCCTTGTATTCTATTTGCGCTTCGAGCAGCGTGCAGCCAAGGAGCGTGAACTTCAGGAGGACTACAATGAGGAGGAGGAGGAAGGCAGCGATGGCGAGCATTGCGACTGCTGTCGCGATCGATGCTGCGCAGCTGGCGATAAGCCGCTAGTCGTGGCACGTGGCAAGCTGCCCTATCACATGCGGCTGGAGCACGCCCTGATGTCCTTTGCCATCAGGCGCAGTACCAAGCTCTAAACTCAAACAGAATTTCCATATAGATATATTTAGACGAGTATATTTGAACTATCAAATGATTTTGCCTTGCCCGTTATGCATGTCATGTCGAAAATGCGTACTACGAATTTCTATGTGCTTTAGTCGTAGTTTAATGTTCCATTATACATACTACATATATTGTCCTATTTACTGAATGTTTCGTGTAACAACCTTTGTATTCCAAGTTCTTATACGTCTCTTAGATTTGAAATTCTTCACTTCTATAACTATCATGAATCGAATATGTATTTTTATACTTTATGCTAGAGCTATATTTATTTTACTCTATAACGAATATATATATATATATATGTATATGGTATATATATACGCACGAAACACATCCACAATGATCCACGTCAAGTATTATTTATCGCACTAGCTATGTACGAATTACAATGAGAATTTTTAAAATAAACATGCGTTGCACTTGCATATTATTTATGCCAAGGGAGCAAATCCCCCGAAATCTGATGTTTTCAATTAAAATTCAGTTTTCAGCATATGAATTTAATAAACAAAGATTAAAGAATGTCACATACTTTGGGGCGACTCATGAAAACATTTGGTGCAGCGCGCGAAGCGCTATTTAAGAGTCTTGAATTCGAAGTCAAATGAAATCTGGAATTCGCAAAAGTTCATTCATTTGTTCTTGGATTTATGAAAAGGTAAATGTTTGGGATTTCACGTTTTTTACATTTTGTGTATACAAATATGAATATCGGGTTCATTTGCAGTCACAAATGTGGCCAGACTGAGCAGGACTTGGAAGGACTTGTTGGCCAGCGGAGTTAGCACGGCTGTTAGTCCACTGAGCAGAGAGATCAGGAACAGCACGAAATGGGTAATTATTCCAGTGGTCACGTATCAGCAGGACCAGGCAGTCAGCTACCTCTATGCCCCATGCGCAGAGTCAGCCAGTTGACGCCAGCCATTTGGAAAACAAAGCCAAACGACGGCACTCCAAGGTCTAGCTGGTTGAGCACATTGAAAGCTCTGTCGCTTTCACTTTCATTGCACAGCTATCGATTATAACATTCAAGTGATATCGGGGAAGACTGGATGTCTGTTGAAAGCAGTTTGTGCACTTGAGAGATACGAAGATTCTTACGTATTAATGCTTTGAGCTGAAGGAAACAATTTCTATTTTTAACAATTGATAATAACATTGCAATGCTTAGTTTAATTAATAAAACTAGCTTTTTTTGATAAGTGGCATGTACAAAAGATAATCTTATGAACTATAGACGTATGTATGTGTATACTAAGTCTGAGATAAGGCCACCATGAGTTGCTGTAATGATATATAAACGTATCGATATTGCGTTCGTGTGTATGATTATAAAACTTAACACAATTTAAATACATATTGATCAAATATATTTAGTAACTAAAGTTGGTAAAATAATGAGAATATTTGGATAATAGGACATGGATAGAACATAGATCTATATGTTTTATATATGTTCTCAGAAGAACTATCTTATTAATGTTCTATTTGCTTAAAAAAAAAAACTTAAGTATCTATTTTTAGCATACAGTATATTGTGTTATATTATTTAGCTTAATTAATATTTGAAAAAAATTGTGGGACTTAGAACTCTATGAAAAATCCATTGAAACCAGTTTTATAAATACATATTTTAATATCATATAGCGAAATCGGTAAGCAAATAATTTGTTATAATTTACAGATTTGTTATAACTTATGATTGAGTTTTTTGGAAGAGTTTCTCGATTTTTAACTTTTGTGAGAAGATTTAATAGAGTAGAAAAGTTGTGCCTTGGCATCGTCTCATCAAATGTTTTTTGCTATATTTACTGGGGGCGTAGTAAATTGGGAATTACCATTTTTTACAGTATCTAGTATACTTATGTTACACACATATATAAATATATGTATGTTCGTTTTAAACACAGTGTAAGAGCTAGAAGCATTATATCTTTGATACTTTAAACAACGACTCAAAAGTTACCAAGCCTCTTACACTAAGGACGCAGGCGAAAGCCTCAGAATTTTGTTTATATTTTCGTTTACTACTTTTGCATTGCATTGCAACATTGCAGCATTGCATTATAAGATTAATTGTTATTACTTTCCCCACGAACTTTGCATGTATACTTTAATATTCTGAATAAACTGTGTGCGTATGTCCGTCTACTTCAGTCCATTTCGTAGTCCATTTCCCTTTGCTCTTAACAAGCTTGGGGCTTTTAGTTATAGCTTGACTCGGGTCTGATTTCGACCAATCAATTTGTCAGAGAGAATATCTGATTGATTGATGGATGATCACAGGCTTTCCAAATCGTTGCAGCAAATAGTTGACTTGGGTGATTCAGGATATTCTAGGATGTGAGCATATTTATACCTGTTCAAAAGTAAAACAGAGTTTATTGGTTTTGTGCAACGTCTGTCCACTTGAATGGGAATGTATTTTTCAGTTATTGAAGCTTGAGAGCTAAGTTCGAGTTGAGTTTGAAGATATCTCAATTACAAAAGCTATTTTCTTTGACGGTATTTGAACTTTTATCTATGTAGGTTAAATTTGATGTAAGTGAAATCAATAAATCGAAAACTATATTGAATATTATTGATACTTTAGTTAGTTAATTTTTCGAATATCTTCGAAATATTCTGAGCTAGGCACCATAAAGTTTTGTAGCCAGCCCACTCTTGAGCCTCTATACAGGTAGACCTATAAATGTCTGACTGCAAGGATCACTCTTGTCTTGAACTTCAGCGCCATTTACCCAAGCCTTGTAAGACAACGATTTATGTAAAATTTATTCTTAAAATTGATTAAGAAGTTGAAAGGTGTCAGTTGAAGTTAGTCTTGAAATTATATTTTATTCTTATGTATTAAAATGAGGGCCTGTTTAATTTGGCATGCATGTGAGACAACTATCTGTTGGCATAACTGATACTGTTAAAAGTAATCCGATTCGTGTTACGAATGAGTTGTACGTGACCAGCACAAGGCAACGACTATATAATTTACCGATCTTATCTTTAACTTTGCTTGAACTGCAGGCCAATATGCTCATGGGGGATTCCAACAGCTAGGTGTACCGGCGTGAGTTATGTATTGTTGGGGAATTCACGGTGTTTAAGTCTAAAGCAGTTTTAAATACAATAATAGATTGTCGCGGGGAAGCGATAAGGAAAGCTCATCACACAGAGCAGTTCGCCGGAGGTCAGCGAATAATCTGTCCGCTTTAGAATTGACTTGAGATGGACTTTATTTTGTGGTAGAGTCCCTTCATTGGGCCGTAGCTGCTGAGCACCAGCGAAACAAGTGTTAAGCACTTCATCAAGATTTGCAGGTCAGTCTCAGTGCGGTGCGTAAAATAACCCGTCTCATATCCGTAGTACTGGGTGACTAAGGCGATGACGAAGCAGGCGAAACCCAGGAAATTGTGGAGTGCTTTGTTTAGCAGCGGCGTGATCAGTTTCTTAACGCGCGCCGAGCAGAGAGCTGCCAATCCGGAGCTCATGGCCAGTAGACATAGTATGAAGGCGGTCAAACCTAGAGCAATACCATATTATTATTGTTTCCAGAGTTAACCACGCCCACTTACCCAATCTGCCATGGGTGGACTTCAACAGAAATCCCTTCTGTATCATTTTGATCTGATCATTTTGCACAAAAAAACGAAACGAAAATTAACAAATTCGAGTGAAATGGTGTCTTCAAATATATAACATATATATAAGAATAAATATTAATTCAGATTCTATTCTATTTATCATTTACCATTTAGCCGACAATTATTTAAAAATTGAACATTTTCGTTGATGATTTTTGATTTGATTGTCTACAGTTTTCTAATGCATTTGTATCTTCTTCACAGATACGCCGATCCCCACACTCACACACACACAGATTCTGATGCATATGTAGATACAGATACTGTATACGAACAGAATTCCAAAGAGCCTTTGATGACGACGCCTCGCTGTGCATAACGATATTTGTTAAATACTTTGTGATAGTCTTGTTTATCGTTTTAATTTATTTGTTTATACGCAAAATAGTATTGTAAGATTTTAAGAGAAACCAAACAAAGTTGCAACCAAATAGAAAGAAACCTGCAAATGCATTCCACAAGCACAACAACCAGAGTATTCGACACATTGAAAATGCGCATTTTGCTGCTGCTGCTGTTATTCAGCTGTCTGGCTTTAATTGAGGCATGCTCCAGCCGCACCGTTCCGAAGCCGCGTCCATCGGTCTCTTCGTCCATGTCGGGCATTGCATTACCGCCAACACAGGCGCCGGCAACAACAACAACAATGCGAACTACCACAACGACGACAACAGCCAGGCCAAATATCACATTCCCCACATACAAGTGTCCGGAGAACTTCGATGCCTGGTACTGTCTGAACGACGCCCATTGTTTTGCCGTAAAGATAGGCGAGCTGCCCGTCTACAGCTGCGAATGCGCCATTGGCTTTATGGGTCAGCGCTGCGAGTATAAGGAAATCGATGGCTCCTATCTGCCCAAACGTCCGCGTCCCATGCTTGAGAAGGCGAGCATCGCCAGCGGTGCAATGTGCGCACTCGTCCTAATGCTGTTCGTCTGCCTTGTATTCTATTTGCGCTTCGAGCAGCGTGCAGCCAAGGAGCGTGAACTTCAGGAGGACTACAATGAGGAGGAGGAGGAAGGCAGCGATGGCGAGCATTGCGACTGCTGTCGCGATCGATGCTGCGCAGCTGGCGATAAGCCGCTAGTCGTGGCACGTGGCAAGCTGCCCTATCACATGCGGCTGGAGCACGCCCTGATGTCCTTTGCCATCAGGCGCAGTACCAAGCTCTAAACTCAAACAGAATTTCCATATAGATATATTTAGACGAGTATATTTGAACTATCAAATGATTTTGCCTTGCCCGTTATGCATGTCATGTCGAAAATGCGTACTACGAATTTCTATGTGCTTTAGTCGTAGTTTAATGTTCCATTATACATACTACATATATTGTCCTATTTACTGAATGTTTCGTGTAACAACCTTTGTATTCCAAGTTCTTATACGTCTCTTAGATTTGAAATTCTTCACTTCTATAACTATCATGAATCGAATATGTATTTTTATACTTTATGCTAGAGCTATATTTATTTTACTCTATAACGAATATATATATATATATATGTATATGGTATATATATACGCACGAAACACATCCACAATGATCCACGTCAAGTATTATTTATCGCACTAGCTATGTACGAATTACAATGAGAATTTTTAAAATAAACATGCGTTGCACTTGCATATTATTTATGCCAAGGGAGCAAATCCCCCGAAATCTGATGTTTTCAATTAAAATTCAGTTTTCAGCATATGAATTTAATAAACAAAGATTAAAGAATGTCACATACTTTGGGGCGACTCATGAAAACATTTGGTGCAGCGCGCGAAGCGCTATTTAAGAGTCTTGAATTCGAAGTCAAATGAAATCTGGAATTCGCAAAAGTTCATTCATTTGTTCTTGGATTTATGAAAAGGTAAATGTTTGGGATTTCACGTTTTTTACATTTTGTGTATACAAATATGAATATCGGGTTCATTTGCAGTCACAAATGTGGCCAGACTGAGCAGGACTTGGAAGGACTTGTTGGCCAGCGGAGTTAGCACGGCTGTTAGTCCACTGAGCAGAGAGATCAGGAACAGCACGAAATGGGTAATTATTCCAGTGGTCACGTATCAGCAGGACCAGGCAGTCAGCTACCTCTATGCCCCATGCGCAGAGTCAGCCAGTTGACGCCAGCCATTTGGAAAACAAAGCCAAACGACGGCACTCCAAGGTCTAGCTGGTTGAGCACATTGAAAGCTCTGTCGCTTTCACTTTCATTGCACAGCTATCGATTATAACATTCAAGTGATATCGGGGAAGACTGGATGTCTGTTGAAAGCAGTTTGTGCACTTGAGAGATACGAAGATTCTTACGTATTAATGCTTTGAGCTGAAGGAAACAATTTCTATTTTTAACAATTGATAATAACATTGCAATGCTTAGTTTAATTAATAAAACTAGCTTTTTTTGATAAGTGGCATGTACAAAAGATAATCTTATGAACTATAGACGTATGTATGTGTATACTAAGTCTGAGATAAGGCCACCATGAGTTGCTGTAATGATATATAAACGTATCGATATTGCGTTCGTGTGTATGATTATAAAACTTAACACAATTTAAATACATATTGATCAAATATATTTAGTAACTAAAGTTGGTAAAATAATGAGAATATTTGGATAATAGGACATGGATAGAACATAGATCTATATGTTTTATATATGTTCTCAGAAGAACTATCTTATTAATGTTCTATTTGCTTAAAAAAAAAAACTTAAGTATCTATTTTTAGCATACAGTATATTGTGTTATATTATTTAGCTTAATTAATATTTGAAAAAAATTGTGGGACTTAGAACTCTATGAAAAATCCATTGAAACCAGTTTTATAAATACATATTTTAATATCATATAGCGAAATCGGTAAGCAAATAATTTGTTATAATTTACAGATTTGTTATAACTTATGATTGAGTTTTTTGGAAGAGTTTCTCGATTTTTAACTTTTGTGAGAAGATTTAATAGAGTAGAAAAGTTGTGCCTTGGCATCGTCTCATCAAATGTTTTTTGCTATATTTACTGGGGGCGTAGTAAATTGGGAATTACCATTTTTTACAGTATCTAGTATACTTATGTTACACACATATATAAATATATGTATGTTCGTTTTAAACACAGTGTAAGAGCTAGAAGCATTATATCTTTGATACTTTAAACAACGACTCAAAAGTTACCAAGCCTCTTACACTAAGGACGCAGGCGAAAGCCTCAGAATTTTGTTTATATTTTCGTTTACTACTTTTGCATTGCATTGCAACATTGCAGCATTGCATTATAAGATTAATTGTTATTACTTTCCCCACGAACTTTGCATGTATACTTTAATATTCTGAATAAACTGTGTGCGTATGTCCGTCTACTTCAGTCCATTTCGTAGTCCATTTCCCTTTGCTCTTAACAAGCTTGGGGCTTTTAGTTATAGCTTGACTCGGGTCTGATTTCGACCAATCAATTTGTCAGAGAGAATATCTGATTGATTGATGGATGATCACAGGCTTTCCAAATCGTTGCAGCAAATAGTTGACTTGGGTGATTCAGGATATTCTAGGATGTGAGCATATTTATACCTGTTCAAAAGTAAAACAGAGTTTATTGGTTTTGTGCAACGTCTGTCCACTTGAATGGGAATGTATTTTTCAGTTATTGAAGCTTGAGAGCTAAGTTCGAGTTGAGTTTGAAGATATCTCAATTACAAAAGCTATTTTCTTTGACGGTATTTGAACTTTTATCTATGTAGGTTAAATTTGATGTAAGTGAAATCAATAAATCGAAAACTATATTGAATATTATTGATACTTTAGTTAGTTAATTTTTCGAATATCTTCGAAATATTCTGAGCTAGGCACCATAAAGTTTTGTAGCCAGCCCACTCTTGAGCCTCTATACAGGTAGACCTATAAATGTCTGACTGCAAGGATCACTCTTGTCTTGAACTTCAGCGCCATTTACCCAAGCCTTGTAAGACAACGATTTATGTAAAATTTATTCTTAAAATTGATTAAGAAGTTGAAAGGTGTCAGTTGAAGTTAGTCTTGAAATTATATTTTATTCTTATGTATTAAAATGAGGGCCTGTTTAATTTGGCATGCATGTGAGACAACTATCTGTTGGCATAGCTGATACTGTCAAAAGTAATCCGATTCGTGTTACGAATGAGTTGTACGTGACCAGCACAAGGCAACGACTATATAATTTACCGATCTTATCTTTAACTTTGCTTGAACTGCAGGCCAATATGCTCATGGGGGATTCCAACAGCTAGGTGTACCGGCGTGAGTTATGTATTGTTGGGGAATTCACGGTGTTTAAGTCTAAAGCAGTTTTAAATACAATAATAGATTGTCGCGGGGAAGCGATAAGGAAAGCTCATCACACAGAGCAGTTCGCCGGAGGTCAGCGAATAATCTGTCCGCTTTAGAATTGACTTGAGATGGACTTTATTTTGTGGTAGAGTCCCTTCATTGGGCCGTAGCTGCTGAGCACCAGCGAAACAAGTGTTAAGCACTTCATCAAGATTTGCAGGTCAGTCTCAGTGCGGTGCGTAAAATAACCCGTCTCATATCCGTAGTACTGGGTGACTAAGGCGATGACGAAGCAGGCGAAACCCAGGAAATTGTGGAATGCTTTGTTTAGCAGCGGCGTGATCAGTTTCTTAACGCGCGCCGAGCAGAGAGCTGCCAATCCGGAGCTCATGGCCAGTAGACATAGTATGAAGGCGGTCAAACCTAGAGCAATACCAGATTATTATTGTTTCCAGAGTTAATCACGCCCACTTACCCAATCTGCCATGGGTGGACTTCAACAGAAATCCCTTCTGTATCATTTTGATCAGGGCACCGGCTGCCCCACAGCCGCCGCCCAGCGTCAATAGAATCCAATGGATTGTGGTCTTTGTGGTTCTCTTGTAGCTGTTTGTTAGCACGTTGCCACCATAGTGAACCATTACACCTTCCGCCATGAAGAACGAGAACTGCAATACACACATTTCCCATTGATTGCTGATCAACTTTTGTCGCCGGACCACTTACCCCAATGGTAACCAGCCAGGCGTGCAGTCCAGTGCCTGCGAGACCCGTTTGCAGCGTGAGGTAGGATATGTAGATGGTTATGAATCCAATGCACATTTGATTGAGCACATTCAGAAAGTACTCCAGACGCTCCAGCGGCTGCTGGGAATCACTATGCAGCTTATTATGCGACATTCTTGAATATCGATGGCCACCCGCCGATGCGTTCAGCTGCAGGAAGGAGGGCGATCGCTGTGGACGAGCTGTTGGACCGGTTGGAAGCGATTGCGAATGCTGATTCTTAGCTAGGTTGGCGCTCGTCGTGCTGCCGTAGTCGGCGACTTTCTGATTGCTACTGATGACCGGCGGGAGATGTTCTGTCATCGTGGCCCGAAAAACAGCAGGCTTCACTCGAATGGTCTTAATACCCTGTAACTGAAAAGGGAAGGGGAGTGGACTTTAGGGTTTTCTGGTATTTGAGCCATACATCATCAGCTCCTCAAAGTATAATTCGCCATTTGCACACTGCTTGTTTCTTTTAAATCGATATGTATCGATTTCAATTAGATCTCGGACTGTGAAGGCTAAGTCCCAAATACGACTATCTTAACATCGCAGTTATGTTTGCTGAAGGCCAAAGAGAAGAGAGGAATGTGCAAATGGGTTTCACTGAAAGCCAGTCGAGGGCATCTGTTAGTCGTGCTCTGAACACACTTACTCAATGCGCACAGTGTGCTTATCAGTGGGAAACAATAATGTTATTTTCGTGTTAAATTTATTAGTTACAACAAAAACAAGCTCGCCGACTGATAATTGCGTCCAACAACTATTTTATGAGGCTGGAAGGCTGACTGTGCTGTTTTTTATTCATTCAAGTTCACGGAAACTATTTGTACTTATTTGAAAGCCAATAGCGAACTTATATGACGTGCAATTAATTTTTTGTTTCTGCGAGTCAGAAGTACGCCCATCGACTTTAGCAGCTCTACTAATCTCCGTTCTGCAGTCGAGTCACAGCCGAGTCGGCCGCACAGCTGTCTGTTGCTATAACTGGTATTCTCAACCGCAAGCCGCAAATATTAACTCATATTGCAATTCACTTACTATATCATGTAACTCGTCTAAAAATCGACTTTAAATATAATAATTATTTGAAATTTTTCTGATTGAGCATGGAGAGCCACAGACTCGATGTGAGCTGTGCGTGTGGCGGTAGAAGACAACTATTACAGGGCATCTACTAGTCGGGTAGTGCGCTAGTAAAAGTGAATACTTTCATTCGATAATATTTTGCATTTGTGTTTTTGCAACAATTGTTTATTGCACATTCATTTTCTCTGGGGAAGCTGTTTGAGCAAATCGCATGTGGGGAATGCTTAACTATAATATTCCCTGCAATCTACAATGGAAATGCGTTTCTTCATATTGGATACTCTATTCTCAAGATTCAAGCATTCAATATTGAAAAATAGAAACAATCGGATTGACAGATTCATAGATAGACAGATAAATAAGTATATCGATAGATTGATAGATAGATAGATTGATAGATAGATAGACAGATAGATAGATAGATAGATAGATAGATAGATAGATAGATAGATAGATAGATAGATAGATAGATAAATAGATAGATAGATAGATAGATAGATAGATTGATAGATAGATAGACAGATAGATAGATAGATAGATAGATAGATAGATAGATAGATAGATAGATAGATAGATAGATAGATAGATAAATAGATAGATAGATAGATAGATAGATAGATAGATAGATAGATAGACAGATAGATAGATAGATAGATAGATAGATAGATAGATAGATAGATAGATAGATAGATAGATAGATAGATAGATAGATAGATAGATAGATAGATAGATAGATAGATAGATAGATCGCTCGCTCGCTCGCTCGCTCGCTCGCTCGCTCGCTCGCTCGCTCGCTCGCTCGCTCGCTCGCTCGCTCGCTCGCTCGCTCGCTCGCTCGCTCGCTCGCTCGCTCGCTCGCTCGCTCGCTCGCTCGCTCGCTCTCTCGCACTCGCTCGCTCGCTCGCGCGCTCGCTCGCTCGCTCGCTCGCTCGCTCGCTCGCTCGCTAGCTCGCTCGCTCGCATAGCTAGCCCGCTCGATATATCCAGAAAGATAAATAGATGCGCAGGTAGATAAATAGATGGACAAGAAGAGAGATATTCACACCTACTTTTATATGTATATATATGTATATATAATATATATATAATATGTATATATATAATATTTCACTTGATTACCTGCGAGAAAAGCTCCGTCTCACAAAACCTTTCTTAAGGTTTCTTTTGACTATGAATATCCCTTGTGTTACCAGATTAACAATTAAAAAGAATTTAGTTTGAAATTAAAATAGAATTTGATGACAGAAACGAAAGATTATAGCAGTCAGTCACCAGCAATTGGGATAGATCAAATTAGCTGTTGATGCTGTAAGTATTTAGTATGTTTGTGCACTTTTCAGATTTAGATAGATTTACATTTCTTACCTTTGTATTAAATAAATAACTTCTTTTTGAATGACACAATTCAAGTTGCTTAAAAAATAAACAAATTTGAAAATGCATCACAGTTTATGATAAGTAATAATATTACCTTAGCTGTAATTCCAATGGAGGCTGTCGGCTTATGAAAAAGGTTTTTCATTTTCTAGACTCAAATAGTCTTAGAATCCAAACCATAAAATAATTTAAGTACAAATAGATGAGACTAAATAGTTCTTAAGGCACTTTGGAAGGATGCATGAGAGTCGAAGAGTAAATGATTAGTTGATATAATTTTTTATTTGGATTATTTGGATTTGCTTGTTAGACAATCAAACAAAATGGAGAGTAGATAAAAAATTGGTGCTTCCAAAGCTGATTTCTCCTCAATTCCTGAAATTACAAGAAAAAACGGAATGAAACTCTTTTGTGCCAAACAAATATTAATATGTTCCTAGAATTTAAGGAAATTCAAGTTAAAAGAGCAGCAATCCATGGAAAAATGCTTAGAATTTACATAATATATTTTAGATAATTATTAATTTAATGAAATTAGAATGAAAAGAATTTTGCATTTCTAGTAAAATTATATTTATTATTCTTCTAATTAAAAATTACTATTAAATTACTTAAACTAAAAATTTCAAAATAAGAAAAACGGAATGAAACTCTTTTGTGCCAAACAAATATTAATATGTTCCTAGAATTTAAGGAAATTCAAGTTAAAAGAGCAGCAATCCATGGAAAAATGCTTAGAATTTACATAATATATTTTAGATAATTATTAATTTAATGAAATTAGAATGAAAAGAATTTTGCATTTCTAGTAAAATTATATTTATTATTCTTCTAATTAAAAATTACTATTAAATTACTTAAACTAAAAATTTCAAAATAAGAAAAACGGAATGAAACTCTTTTGTGCCAAACAAATATTAATATGTTCCTAGAATTTAAGGAAATTCAAGTTGAGCAATGTAAAAGAGCAGAAATCCATGGAAAAATGCTTAGAATTTACATAATATACTTTAGATAATTATTAATTTAATGAAATTAGAATGAAAAGAATTTTGCATTTCTAGTAAAATTATATTTATTATTCTTCTAATTAAAAATTACTATTAAATTACTTAAACTAAAAATTTCAAAATAAGAAAAACGGAATGAAACTCTTTTGTGCCAAACAAATATTAATATGTTCCTAGAATTTAAGGAAATTCAAGTTAAAAGAGCAGCAATCCATGGAAAAATGCATAGAATTTACATAATATATTTTAGATAATTATTAATTTAATGAAATTAGAGTGAAAAGAATTTTGCATTTCTAGTAAAATTATATTTATTATTCTTCTAATTAAAAATTATTATTAAATTACTTAAACTAAACATTTTTAAATATTATTTTATTTTGCCTGCATTTCCGCGAGAGAACTCCTATGCCTTAGCTGGCGAAACTGAGAGCCTTCTGATATAGCGACTTCAGCGGTGCGATGCAAGTTAGGACCATTGCTACGAGAGTCACGACTTGCATAAGGATAACGAAGTCCTCGCCTTGGCCTTTGAATATTCCTGTTTGCGTGTAGCCATAGAACTGAGCCAACATTGCAGTCACAAATGTGCCCAGACTGAGCAGGACGTGGAAGGACTTGTTGGCCAGCGGCGATAGAACCTTTGAGAGGCTACGGGCCAGCACAGCTGTTAGTCCACTGAGCAGCGAGATCAGGCATAGCACGAAGGCTGCGAATCCCAATCTGGAATGGACGGTTACACTAATGGCCCACTGGTCACGTATCAGCTGGACGAGGCAGCCCGCTACCCCCATGCCGCCGCCGAGTATCTGGAGCACCACATGGATGGCTGTCTTGTGCTTGCGAGTGTAGCGCAGAGTCAGCCAGTTGCCATCGTAGAAGCACATCATGCCCTCGGCCATCAGAAAGACGAAGCCAAAGGACACTAGCCAGACGTGCAGCCGGATTCCAGTTAGACCAGTTCGCAGGCAGTTCCAGCAGATCCAGATTGTCACGAACCCAATGCACAGCTGGTTGAGCACATTGAGACCTGCTTCGATGTGCTGGAGTACATTAGCTGAGTTGCTCTTTGTTGCTGTCATTTCGCGGGATTCTAAAGGTATTAGGGATTCGCTTCTGTCACTATCTGATCACTGATCACTGATCACTATTAACTGTTATTTTAGATCAATTTGGTCCGTAGCTACAGCTTTTTAAATTTAAATTTTTAAATTATGTGAACATTTTCCGCGGATAAAACTTAATAATTTATATAAAATTAAAATAAATTTGTTGTATTTGTTTCGTAGCTGTTTCGTAAGATCAAAGGTTTTTCCAGAGGATCTGAATATGTCCATTTATATTTATTTCTTTTTATATGAATGAACTTTCACATTGCCGTCTGCCTTCATGAATAAGGAACAGTCAACTTATTTGAGGCTTCTCCATGCATGGCAAAATGTTTTTATACCTTTTACCCTTTATCCAAATTTCATAAAGGGTATATAAGACTTAAGACACATTGTGACTCTGAAACAGCATAACGTGGAAGCAAGCAACGTCGTACCAAAGTACACAGATCTTAAATATACTTTATAAAATCGATAAATATCGATTCGATCAGCTTCAGATGCATGCATTATACACGGCCTCACAATAATCGCCCAGCTCTATACTTACTCAAGAAACTACTTGATATAACGTTGTGAGGTATTTCACATGTGTTTATAGGGCATCTGGAAGTTGGGTTGATTTTTTCTTTAAATTAACAACAATTAGTTGATAATAATGTGTACATATTCCGACTATCAGTTAAACTGCGGTTACCAATCAAATGCATAGTACTTAAAGGATTATAATATATACCTAACACCATCAATTTCGCATTGGACACTCAGCATATACTCGCTTATCGCCGTACCCAATATCAAGTGCTACTAGCATCTTTATCGGCGCAGATCTCACGTTGCAACAAATCAGATAATGCTTGTTCTGCACTCAAGCACTCATGTCATTCATAGGATTTTCCAGTATTCAAATGTGATATATGATCTTTATTTAACCTACCCATTCAAAGGCCAAAGGGGTATATTGGCTTTTGCGAAAGTCTGCTCTAATAGAAGTCTTCTCTAATAAATGGAATCGAAGTACAAAAGCAAGAAAGTCTTTAAATCTAAAGCAGATGAATAGACTTTAAGATGTAGCTAGCTCACATTCCATCTCTAGCAAGGCCTATTTGAATATTCGTAACGGCACTTTGACGCTGCGTACAGGGTATCCCTCGGTTAGCCGGTTCATACGCGGCATTCTCGCCTGCTTAGGCTAATTGTTGGTCATAATGTAGCATAGTCATCGTCGATTTGAGCCACGTATAATACGTCTAGTACTTATTTGCTAAATTACCGTTACTATTTTTATGTCGAGCACCGCCATCAGCGCTTAAGCCTTATCGTATTGCAAAACCGCACGTACTATGATAGGAAACAGCCCGGTATCGGTAAAGGCTTTTACTCTACGCTCACATAACTATTTGCCTACGTATATTGGCCGATGTGACTAACGATCAGTAAGACAATTACTGGCACATTTCGGGCGCTACAAGCTTAAACCTATTTATTTATTTCTGTGCAACTTGGCAAATATTCCAAATCGAAGCTTTAGCTTGATGACTGGAGCTATTTTTATAACCTGATCCCATTGCAAATGGGGAATAGGCAAAAGAATAATAATACTTATATATTTAATTATGTGTTAGATATATATATTTATATATTTAAATATATAAATATATATTTATATACTAAAAGTAAATATATACATATATATATAATAGAGTCTATTTACTAAGTTTCCCGATTTGGGATTGCCTCCTCCTGCTGCAGTTGGATAAGTCTAGAGTCTAAGGGTTGTTGAAAAATTATTATCCGAGTGAGTTTGCGTCTTAGCTACAAGTTAACACAATTGATCAGCAGAACGTAAATATTGAAGCTGACCATGCATTCTCAGCATAAATGCTTACGACACCAGCTGTCTCAAGCGGACATTGCACAACAGCGGAAGCGTCCACGCGCAACAATGTTGCTGACCAGCGACCTAGTACTGTATGCAATGCCAGCGTTTTCAGGGCTTAGGGCTAGCTTCTATTATAAGAACGATTGTCAAATAGAGTTAGTTGATTTTTGGAAATAAAGAACGTCGGTCATCGCCACGGAATTCACAAAGTCTTCTCATTTTTCGAATAAGTGTTAACGCCGATACTCCGTACGCGCTTAACATAATTTCGAAATATTAAAATAAATAACTGGCGCCCAACGAAATCGGAAAAAAAAAAACCCAAACTCAATTAAACAAATATTCAAAAAATAATTTGTGAAAAAAACCCGAACTCAGTTAAACAAATATTCAAGAAATAATTTGTGAAAAAAAAAAAAAAACCCGAACTCTATTAAGAAAATTTCCAACAAATAATTTGAAAAAAACCCGAACTCAATCAAACAATTATTAAAAAAAATTTGTGAAAAAAAAAAACCCGAACTCAGTTAAACAAATATTCAACAAATAATTTGTGAAAAAAAACATTATAAATTACAACTAATACGCAACAAAAAAAGTTCACCGAGGGATTCATCAAACCATCAGCTCTACGAAAATAATATAAGAACATGTAAGTAGGGTGTTCAAAAAAAAAAAAAAGAATAATAATAAATAAAAATTGTAAAAATACAATTCCAACTGTTCAACTAAATTTTAATTGTATAAAAAACACTACACATATCTTATTTGCATGTTATGAGTGATAGTGAGATACAAGATTTAGTAAAAAAATTTCAAAGTATAGATACAGGTGAAAAAATAAAAATGTCTTTATCTAACGAACAGTTAAGAGCGATTGTAGAAGGCGCAGTTACAAGCGCATTAAGAACCCAAAAAGAAAACTTTGATCAGAAATTACGCGACATAGAACAACGTATTGGTTCTGTACAAGTTAGCACTCCTGAAGTAGAAACATTTAGAGAGGCCGAGATCAGGGCAAGCGTCATTTGCAATGAAACCCTTGACATAATGAAATCCCTTCCAGAATTTGAAGGAAAAAATGAGACTTATGTATCATGGAGGAAAGCTGCGCATACCGCATACAAAGTATATGAAAAATATGATGGTAGCTCGAAACATTATCAAGCTTTAGGAATATTAAGAAACAAAATTAAAAACGCCGCCGATATGGTACTCTCTTCGTTTGACACTCCTCTGAATTTTAGGGCCATTATAAATCGGTTAGATTTCACGTACGCAGACAAAAGACCGATATACCTAATTGAACAAGAGCTGTCAACACTCCGTCAAGGAAATCTGACACTACTACAGTACTATGACGAAGTGGAGAAGAAACTGACTTTACTCATAAATAAGACAATCATGACCTATGACGCCAACGTTGCCTCTTCGTTAAATGAGAAATACAGGGCAGACGCTCTACGAGTATTCATCTCAGGTACCAGGAAAACTTTAAGTGATGTCCTATTCTCAGCTAGACCAACTGACCTTCCGTCTGCACTGGCATTAGCCCAAGAAGTCGAGTCTAATCATGACCGGTATATGTTTGCCACGAATTTTGCACGTAGTTTAGAAGAAAAGGCTCAGAGAACAGTACAAAAACAACAAGGCAGAGATAGGAACCTAACTCAAGACCCAAAATACAACCAGCCAGGGAAAAGCCCATATTATAAGAAACAAGAATTCTCACCACGACGAGAACAAGTTGAACCAATGGACGTTGATACATCCGCTCGCTTCGGACAGACGACCCAATACCAGCAAAACACGGCTCCCTCAAAGCAAACTCAGTGGTCGACTCAACAACAAAACACAAAATATGAAAGTTACAATAATCAGGGACAAGCAAACAAGAGACCAAATAATAGTAGTGCACGACTCACAGGACCGAAGCAGCAAAGAGTTAACTATTTAGAAGCAAGAGATTCAGAATATGAACAGGACGGTAATAAATATCGGACCATCGCAGAAAATGAGGCAGAAGACATTGAAGACGAATCCGACGAATATGACCAGGTCCATTTTTTAGACCTGGCTCCCTGCTACCGTTCATAGAAAGATCAGTGGCAGGAAGGACAATAAGATTACTTATAGATACAGGGGCCTCTAAAAACTATGTTAAACCATTAAAAGAATTAAAACATATTAAGCCAGTAGAAAAACCCTTTCGAGTAAAATCAATTCATGGCTATAACGATATTGACAGGAAGTGTACAATGCATCTTTTTAACACAAATACAACATTTTTCTTACTACCAAACCTTACGAAATTTGACGGTATAATTGGACTTGATTTACTAAACCAAAACAACGTTATATTAGATTTCAAAAACAAGAAGTTAATAACAAACTGCACTTCCGAGACTATTAAATTTCTAAAATGCCCAGCCGTAAATTTTACGGATGTCAAAGAAATAGAAACCCCTCAAGCCATAACGACAAACTTTCAAACAATGCTCAAGAAACGAACAGGAGTCTTTGCGGAACCAAATGAGGCACTCCCGTATAATACCAACATCATTGCCACCATTAGAACAGAAAATGAGGATCCCATATATTCCAAACTATACCCATACCCAATGGGCGTATCGGAATTCGTAAACGCAGAAACTCAAGACCTGTTAAAAAACGGTATAATACGTCCATCTCGTTCACCGTACAATAACCCCGTTTGGGTTGTAGATAAAAAAGGTACTGATGAACAGGGAAGGAAAAAGAAGCGTTTAGTCATAGACTTCAGAAAACTTAACCAAAAAACAATAGACGACAAATATCCAATCCCCAATATTGCCTCTATCTTATCCAACTTAGGAACAGCAAGGTATTTTACAACCCTAGATCTGAAATCCGGATTTCACCAGATCTTACTTGCTGAAAAGGACAGAGAAAAGACAGCCTTTTCTATAGGAAGTGGAAAGTATGAGTTTTGCAGGCTCCCTTTTGGCTTGAAAAATGCACCCAGTATTTTTCAAAGAGCCATTGACGATGTGCTCAGAGAGCAAATCGGAAAATCTTGTTATGTTTACGTCGACGACGTAATAATTTTTTCTGAAAACATGGAAAACCACGTCAAACATATCGCCTGGGTCTTAGATAAGCTATACGAGGCCAACATGAGAGTTTCGCCAGAAAAATCACACTTTTTCAAAGAAAGCGTTGAATATCTAGGTTTCGTGGTCTCAAGTAAAGG